TGCTTTCTTATGCCTCCTCTGAGGCGTGAGGAAGGGAGACAGAGCCTGTGAGTTAGGTCTTACTTTGGCCCAGCAGCTCCGGGAGAGGAGTGGCCTTCCCACAGCGGGTGAGTGGCCAAGTCAGGGTCTGCACTCAGGCCTGTCGGAGCCCTGAGCCCACGCCCTTGACTAGGCCAAGCTGGAGTGAAGGCTGTAGGGGCAGGCAGAAGGCTCTTCATCCAGGGCAGATGGGGTCCGGGGAGGGGTGTGTGCAGGCTCAGGTGAGGCCTGAGGAGGCAGTGGAGCCCATGGGGCATCCCTGGGACCTGGGAGTGGTGGCCCCCTGAGGCAGCACACAAGAGGCTACCAGCTTGATGGTTTGTCGGTTGCCCTTACCCACCTCAGTCCAGTGCTGAAAAGCACTTGGAGGGAATGTGAAAAAGATAACCCGGTCAAAGGTGCCTGGAGCATGGGATGGGGTTGGCAAGGTGACCTGAGGTCTGATCCTGGCTCTTTTCAGAGGCTGCTTGTTCAAGGACTTTGCTGCTCTGGGTCTTAGTTTTCTCATCTGTCTGATGGGTAGATAGTAGCACCTACTTTCTCCCAAGGTCACTGTGAGAAGTGAATGAGATAGTGTGGGTGGTTGGTGTACAATGTGTGTGTCCCCTTCCCCTTTCCTGTCAGACATAGAGGAGAACCCAGAACATGCACAGTGCCCAAGACAAGGGGGTGCTGCAGGGAGGCAGGGTCTGTGTCCTTATTGCAGAGCAGGTAGCCTGAACCCTTCCAGCTTCTAAGTCCTCTGAGATGCACTAAAGATGGAGAGCTGAAAAGGAGAGAAGGAGGGTCTGTATAACCACTCCCTGTCGCCTTTGTACTGGACTTCTGGCCAGGGCAATAAGGCAGACTAGACTAGAAAAAGTGTGAAGTTTAGGAAGTAAAAATTAAAATTGTCATTGTTCACAGGTGACAGAAAATCCAAAAGAATCTACAGATAAACTATTAGAATGACTATGTGGATTTTAAAGCTCAGAATATAAAATCAACTGTTATTATATTCTAGCAACAAATGGTTAGAAAATTAAATTTGAAAAGCAGTTCAATTTATGATAGCATTAAGACACTTAAGATATCTAGGAATACATTTAATGAAAGAGGTATAAGACTTTTGCCCCTGAAAGTACACAATATTCTTAGCAGAAATTAAAGATAAAAATAAATGGAGGAATAGATAGTGGAAATTTCAGTATTGTAAGATGCCAGTTATCCACAACCTGATCTATAAACTCAATGCATTTCCAGTTAATAAGACTAGATACCAGCAGAATGAGTGTAAGCTGATGCTGAGGCTTCCCTATTGGGGTGGCAGCAGGAATGGGGGTGTTTGCTGGTCTAGAGGTACAAGAGAGGATGCCCTGTACCTTCTCTAATTGGAACTGACACCCCAGCATAAAGCCAGACCTTTAAAAAGATATACCCTCAGTGAGAGGGGGAACTGGGAAAATTATCTACCCATCTACCAAAGAGATTAAACAAAAGTGTGTCTGTCTCGACTAGACTTTTGGTGATCTCCTTTGAAAATTTGTGACCTGAGGAATACCCCTTGTTTCTGTTGAAGGTTATAATTCATATTACCCCATGGTTCTAGAATCCTGAACCAAAAACTTAATGTTAACATTGGATCAGGGTAATGATGCCTTGCAGGCACCCAAAGAAAGGAATTGCAAATTCCCTCTGAATGCTTGAGGGAACTGCCTTCAACCAAGCTGAACAAGATTCCCACAGATGAAGCCCCATTAAAGATGAGCTCATAATCACCATTAGCAAACACGTGAGGAAACAGTCTACCATGAGGGAGAGTCATCAGGCAGCCCAGACAACAGAAACACCTCTCAGGAGTTGGAGATAATAGAAAATTGAATCATAGATGAATGTTGAAAAGATTAAAAGTTATTGGAGGCACATAAGAAGGAATAGAAAAGGGAAGAACAAAATTTGAAAGCAGAATGAGGAGATAAGCAAAAGAACCAAAGCTTTCCAAAACCAAAAATGTTATTTGTTGACATTAAAAACTCATTGTAATTGGGAAAATTTTTAATATGGAGTGGGCATTAAATTAATAAGGAGTTATTTTAATTTTGTAAGGTGTCATAATGGTATTTTTGCTATGTAAGAAATATGTTCCTTTTTGTTTGTTGTTTGGAAATACATACTGAAATATTTAGAGGTATAATTTCATTATGTCCAAGGTTTGTTTCAAAAATTTTCAGCACAGATAAAAATAAATGGAGTAATATGACAAAGTGTTAATAATGGTTAAAACCAGGTGGTGAGTAAATGTTCATTATATAGTGTTCCTCAAAATTCAGTATGACACAGAGTCATATAGTGGTCTTTTCAAAACACAAATTATTATATCTGACAAAGGACTTGTATCCAGATATATAAAAATTCAGTAACAAGAAAACAAACAACCCAATTTAAAAATGAGCAAAAGGTTTGGATAGATGCTTCAAAGAAGATATATGTGGGTGGCAAATAAGGAAGAGTGTTGAACATCACTAGTCATTAAGCAAGTGTAAATTGCAGCCACAATAAGATAACTTTATGCATTTATTAGAATGACTAAATTTTTTAAAAAAATCCTAACACATTGCCAAGTGCTTGTAACTGAACCCTTCTTACATTGTTGGTGGGCATGCAAAACAGTGCAGCCACTTTGAAAAACAGTTTGGCCGTTTCTTACAAAGTTAACCTCAAGCTTATCCATATGACCCAGAATCCATTCCTGGGTATTTACCCAAGTGTTAAGGAAATGTATGTTCTAACAAAAAAACCTGTTGCATGTATTTATTAGGACATTATTTAAAATCACCCCAAACTGGAAACAACAGAAATGTGTTTCAACAGGCAAATGGTTAAACAAAGTGGTATGTCGATACACTGGAATACCATTCAGCAATAAAGAGAATCAAGCCACTCCATGGTGTGTGTACCACATCTTCTCTATCCATTCCTCTATTGATGGACACTTAGGTTTTTTCTCAATCTTGGCTATTGTAAATAATGCTGCAATAAACATAGGCATGCATATATCTTCTTTAATTAGTGATTTTGTTTCCTTCAGGTAAATTTCCAGAAGTGAAATTGCTGGGTCATATGTATTTTTAGTTTTCTGAGAAACCTCCACATTTCTTTCCATAGTGGCTGCACCAATTTACAATCCCACCAGCAGTGTTCCCTTTTCTCCACATGCTCGCCAACACTTGTTATTTCTTGTCTTGTTGATATAAAAAGAAATATCCATTCTGACTGATGTGAGGTGATATCCCATCAAAATAGAAGGAAATCTTGCCATTTGCAGCAGCATAGATGGACCTAGAAGGTATCATGCTAAGTGAAATAAGTCAGACAGAGAAAGACAAATACCATATGACTTCACTTGTATGTAGAACCTAAAAAATAAAACCAAAAAAGAAACGGATCCATAAATACTGACAACAGACTGGTGACTACCAGAGGGGAAGCGGTTGGGGGGATGAGTAAAATAGGCAAAGGGGATAAAGAGGTGCAAACTTCAAATGATAAAATAGTCACAGGAATGGAAGTACAGCACAAAGAATAAAACCAGTAATATATTAGCAGGGGTTATAACAGTGTAATAACTGTGCACTTACCATGGTGAGCAATTAGTCATGTATATAATTATTGAATCACTATGTTGTACATCAGAAACCAGTATAATATTAAATTTCAACTATATTCCAATAAAAAAGTGAGAATCAAACTACTGATATATGCAAAAAAAATATGGATAAATGATCATGCAAAATGAGAGAAACCAGACTCAATAGACAACACACTGTATGATTCCATTCATAAGATATTGAAGGGAAGGCAAAATCATACAGAGAAAACAGAACAGCACTGGGCAAGGATGGCACTGGCCACAAAGCGGCAGCCAGGGAGAGTTTGGGCGGCGGTGGGAATGTGATAAAACTTCACTGGGGTGGTGGTTAGGACACATTTCCCAAAGCCCAGAGAAAATGCACACCACAAAGAATTTTAATGTATATAAAAATTTTAAAGTAGATAAAAATATAAATTAGGTTAACATGTGAAATCATATTTACACACACATACAGATTGCTAAATTAGTAAATAAAGTTCCTAATTTCCTGTGTCCTAGGTGGAGCCCACGAAGTTCATTTTTCTAGCATGTTTCTAGGTGATGCTAGTTCTTCTTGTCTAAGGACCCCATGTTGAGAGCCTCTGCATTATACTGTTTACTTTCCTTATGTTTGAAATGCATGAGAAGTTAGGAAATATGATAGAGAGGTGGGTGGTGGGTCATGGAGGACACACTGGAAAGTCCTGAAGTACATCTATTAAGGTTTTCAAAAGAGAGAAAGAAACAGTACTTGAAAAAATAATGAAAGAGTTTTCTAGAATTAAAGCTAAAGGAGACAGACTTCTCTCTGACTGCCCAGAATGACTGAAGATATGGGTCATAAACTATAAAGTGCAGTCCTCATGAAGAAACATTAATTAGGTCCACCCAAGATTGAGTTTCCTCTGCTCAGCACGGTCTCACATGAGCAGTGGTGCCTGCATGTGAGGGAGCTCCCCGTCTCAGCAGGTATGCAAGCACAGCCCCCAGTGGTGGAGTCAGCAGACCCAGGTCTAATCAAAATTGTAAAACTCCTCAGCTGTGGAACCTTGGTCATGAGTTGTCCCTCTCTGAGCCTTACCTGTACAGTGGAATAATATTGCCCTAAATTAGGTTGTAGAGCTGTGAAGCTCCTGGTATATATATATAGTGAGTGTTCAAAGGGATGTTGTTCAACCCTGAGAGCAGAGACAAAGTCTTCCTTGGGAGGAGAAGCCACGAGGGTCCCCCAGCAGAGACTCACATGGAGCTAGTGGCAGGCCACATCCTTGAAGAGGAAGATTCCCAAAGCGGAGGGTTTGTCCGAATGGAGATGAAAGTGGAACTCAGGGCCTTTTCTCCTCCCTTGCAGACGATGGGCCTTACTCCAAAGGAAGCAAGGATGCAGTAGGGGCCGACGTGGCCCTGACACACCGCAGACAGAGCATTCCAGGTAATGAGCCCTTGCTTCTTCCTCCTCCTCTGTCCTGGAGGCACCTGGAGGAAGGGACCAGACAGCACTGGCTCTGCCACTAACTTGCTCTGGGACCCCAGACCAGTCACTTAACCTCGCTGATCCTCTGTAAAATGGCAGTATGTCACCCAGTGTAATGCAGCCAAACCCCTGCTTGCCAAGTGTTAGCATCACCTGTCTTGGGGCTGGGGGCCCGAAATTGCCCCATGCTGCCTGCTCACATCCCATCCATTGGCAGAGGAGTTCCGAGGCGTCACCGTGGTGGAGTTGATCAAGAAAGAAGGCAGCACGCTGGGCCTGACCATCTCGGGTGGTACCGACAAGGATGGGAAGCCCAGGGTCTCTAACCTGAGACCTGGGGGTCTCGCAGCCAGGTGAGAAGTGGGCTTGGTGGGGGCAGCAGGGAGGAGGCCAGGGCCAGGGGGGAATGTATGAGGGCCTTAGGCAAAGCAATCAGGCGGTTGTTTCCAGAGCACCCAAGAGCTTGGTATTTGCTGAGGGAAGGTCTCCAGTGGAGGCTGTAATTCTAGGCCCCAGCTTCTTCTTTTTCCGTTTAGGCCAGGGCGGACCCAGCCACAGCGCCCCACATTCATCAGGCCCTCCACGCCTTTGCACATGCAGTTCTCTCTGCCTAGAAGGCTGTTCCCTACCGCCTCCTCCTGGCAGACTACTATTCATCCCTCCACACTGCCTCTGCAGGAGCCCCTAGCCCCAGGCCGACACAGCCCCTCTGCTCACCCAGCCCTGTGTACCACCTCTGCACACACTATCCTGGGTGTTCCTGTCATTTCACCTGTGTGGCTCCTTGGATGAGTTCCAGGGAACCCGGGGCTTAGCCTCTTCATCTCTGTATCTCTGGGTATTCTTTGCACAGGGCAAGTGCTGACAAGTGTCCAGGCAAAGATTACTGTAAAAACCCAGAAAGGGTTTTAGGGAATAGCCAAGAAGGTGGACATCTGGCCGCTCCACAGGCTTGTCAGTGCCAGTCCGAGCTGTAGCTAAGAGTACGGCACCCCAGCAGGAGGAAAGCAGGCCCACCAGCATTGGGCCTGCTGGTCAGACAAAACTAGGTTAGAATCTGCACTCTCCTACTCACTCACTGTGTGACCCTGGGCAACATCTGATCTCGCTCAGCCTCAGCTTTTCCATCTGTAAAATGGGAATTCAGAGAATGTATGGATTCAACAGGAAGGTGGGTATGAATTGCTGGCGCCTGTCACCACGCGTGTGTTCTGGCCTCCTTGCTCCCAGGAGTGACCTGCTGAATGTGGGTGATTACATTCGGTCAGTGAATGGGATCCACCTGACCAGGCTCCGCCATGATGAGATCATCACCTTGCTCAAGAATGTGGGCGAGCGCGTGGTGCTGGAGGTGGAGTATGAGCTGCCCCCGCCTGGTGGGTGCCCTTGGACGGAGAATTTTCTCCACTGCCTTGGTGGTGGGTGAACGCAGCTGCCTCCCACCAGCCCTGGGTGGTGTGGATCGTGCTAGTTGGTGGGGGGCAAGACCTGGAGACTGGCTACAGACATCCATGCCCCACATAAGGGCTTTGCCTACAGCTGCAGTACGCTGTCACCAGGAGGTGGCAGGGTCCTGCTCATAACCCATGGTCATTTTGTATATTCAGTTTCCAGACACTCTTCCTTTGTGGGGAAGGTTTTGGGAATATTGGCTGAATAAATTTTTCCTCACCCAATCGTTCTCCCCACCCCACCACCCTGCATTGAGTACAGTGACTTAAGATTTAGCCTAGCTCTGAATTTCCAAAGTTAATCTACAGTCTTGAAGTTTGAGCAACTAGAATTCAACACTGGCCCCAGTCCACCAGCCGTGGACTCGAGCTCAGGTCTGTCACTGTCTCGTGGGGGTGTGGGCAGGCACTTTCCCCACTCTAAGTGGTAGCTTAAGTGGGTATCAGCAAGAGAGTCCCTCTAAATCTCACTTGTCCTACCTGTGAGATGGGGGAAGAGGAGTTTTCTCTTCCTGTAATCTCTGTGACGGGTCACCTAACTCGCCTGGTATGAGCTTTGGGGACATCTGCCAGCTTGGTGATAGTGACTGAGGGACTCAAAGCAGTCCTCCATTTTCCCCCAGCCCCTGAGAACAATCCAGGGATCATTTCAAAGACAGTGGACGTTTCACTCTACAAGGAGGGCAATAGCTTTGGCTTTGTCCTCAGAGGTCAGTGTAAAAGTTGCCATTGGGGTCAGGGGTGGGAGGGAGGCTAATGCTAATCCCCTATATATTCTGTTTTGCTTTAATGAATGCGTATGTGTGTGTGTGTGTGTGTGTATGATATGGATGAATAGATACATAGGTAGGTAGATAGAATTTTGCTTCTGACTTTAAACAACCCAGAACCATTAATAACTCAAGTGTTAAATGGAAATACTTGCCAAACAATGAAGAGTGCATGGTTGTGGGGAATAAGAGGGAAAAGTTGTGCCAGAAAATGATGGAGAAAGCTACTACTGGACTGAGAACAAATTTTGGAGCTTCCTAGAAACCAGGGCAAAGGGGGAAATAGGATGAGATCCCAGGAAGGGAAGCAAGCCATTTAACAGAGGACTTTGGTCATGTTCCCTTCTTTTTGCCCTTGCTCTGGGGGGAATAGCTGTTGGTGTCTTGTAAGAGGACCTAGAAATAGCAAGGACAAGGTCTTCAAACAGATTTAATCAAGGGAGACTGCTTAAGGGCTGAATCAGGGTCTCTGGGCATCAGAGAGGGAGTGGATAGATGATTCCTGCCTCTTGTCAAATTCTGTCCAGGAGGTGCCCATGAAGATGGGCACAAGACGCGCCCACTTGTCCTGACCTGTGTGCGGCCCGGTGGTCCTGCTGACAGGTGAGCCTGAGCCGGAGGAAACCTTATAGCCTCACCCTGCACTGACCTCCTCCAGCTCCACTGTGAAGTAGGCAGAGCAGGGCCATTGTGTCCATTCTCCGGATGAGCACACTGAGGTCCGAAGAGGATACAGCCTTTTCCCAGAGTCACTAAGGGAGCTGGGACTGAACCCTAATGGAAGAGACACTAAGCTCTTTCTTCCCTGACATCCTGCTGTCTCGGGGCGGGTGGGGCAGTGAGCCTTGCTATCATGTCACTCTTCCCTTCCCTGGCCTTAGTTTTCACTGTCTGTGGAATGGGCCCAACACTGTAACCCCTAAGAGTTGCTATGAGGGGTTTGGGGCACAGTGAGTGGTGTCACCATGGCCTTCTGTGACTCTGCCTCAGGAGTCCTGGCTGCGTTGCCCAGCCTGGCTCTGCCTGGAGAGAGTGTTGGGGAGGAACGTGTCCAGCTCCCAGCCCTGACCCCTGAGCTCCCAGCAGGAGATTCCTGGCCATATTAAGAGAAGCCTGGAACAGCCTTGTCAGAAATCTAAACCCGTCCTTGGGACAAAGCACTGTGACAAGCTATTCATAGAACCTCCCAAAATAGCTTTGGCCACCTGTTGGGGCAGGCATTCCAGGGTGGGGATTTGACCCAAACCAAAGTGAACCCCAGCTCGGGCCTCTCCCTTGGGACCTCTGCTGAATTTATTCCCAGGCGCATTTGTCACCAGGCCAGAGTAATCACTGCTGAGAAACGAGGGTGGGGGCAGTGGGACTTCTTGGTGGGCAGCGCGAAGCCTCCATACTGCCCCGCCCCTGATGCTGTGTGGCCTTGGTGGGGCTGGTGTGTCCTCTCTGGACCATGGTAGACTCTCCATCCCCAGGCAGAAGTGGGTGTGACTTTGAGGGGCATCCCCAGCTCAGACACTGTAGGGTTAAGCTGGAACCATGACTTTACTCGAAGTTGGGGAGCTGACCCATCTCCTGTCCTTACTTGCCAGCTTCAGTTATTCAGCTGCTTGTGCATAGAGCCGTGCATTCTTCCACTCACTTATGCATCCTCACTGACGGTTCCATCCCTTTCTCCTTCACCAGCTCCCTGCCCCTCCTCTGTCCCCGTGCCTCCTCCACCTTTCCCAGGGCCCTCTCAGCAAGGCTGTGCCCAGTGTTTGCACCGGGCCAGGCTGGCTGATCAAACCCTTCCCTGCAGGGAGGGCTCCTTGAAGGTGGGCGACAGGCTGCTCAGCATTGATGGCATCCCACTGCATGGGGCCAGCCACACCACTGCCCTGGCCACTCTGCAGCAGTGCAGCCATGAGGCACTCTTCCAGGTGGAGTATGACGTAGCCATCTCAGGTAAGGAGGGCACCTGGGGGCTAGGGTTGGGCAGGAAGAGGCCCAGCACTGAGGGGAGGGGTAGTGGGACAGATCCTTACCACTGCAAAAGCTGTGTGACCTTAGGTCAGTCACTCTCTGAGCCCCTCTGGGCAATAGTCCTACGTATCGACAATTGTTTGATGCACTGGAGATCCACGTGAGAACAATACAGACAGACCTCATGTGTCCTGTTCTCATGGAGCTGATGTTCTGGTGGGGAGAGATGGACAGAAAAACAGAAAAGATCAAATCTAGAAGATGTCAGAGAGCAGTAAGTGCTGTAAAAAAAAAAAACAAGGAGAGAGATAGAAAAGGCTGGGGGATGCCTTTTAACTTGCAGCTATCCAAGTGAGAAAGGATGGCAGCTGGCCCAGGCTGGGTGCTGAAGAGGAGCTTAAAAGTGGTTGAAGTCAGGAAAAATGATGGTTGAGCTGGCTTTGATTTGCTGACCTTTGGACACGGTGGCGGGATGGCAGGAGAGCAGAAGGAACTAGGTTTTGTTTTTGAGCCCCTGGGAGAGTGAACCAGGTTGCCATTCTCTGCAATGGAGGAGGGTTTCAGCCTGTATTACTGCTCAGCACAGACGTACTGCAGGCTCTCCATGAATGTGAGCCAGTTGTATTGTTCAGCAAAGCCCTGGGGTCAGACCCAAATTTCTGCCCTTCCTCTGCTGCTAAGTGGCTGTGTGAACTTGGACAAAACCTTTACCTCCACAAACCTGTTTTCTTGCCTGTCAAATGGGTGTAATGACCCCTCTCTGGCAGTGAGGATTGAACCCAAATTGCAGAGGGAGCTAGGGAGCAAAGTGCTCAACATTTGCATTTCGAACTTTCTTTCCTTCCATGTGCCAGATACAGTGGCCAGTGCTTCGGGGCCCTTGATAGTGGAAATAACCAAGACACCAGGGTCCACCCTAGGGATCTCACTCACCACTGGCTCCCACCATAACAAATCAGTCATCACCATTGACCGTATCAAGCCAGCCAGTGTGGTGGACAGGTGAGACCCACACTGGGTACAGCCACAGTACAGGGGTGGTGTGTGGGGGCTGAGGCTGCCCAGTGCTCTGTCCAGCTGGACCAGCCTCCCCCTTCACGCCCCCACCTGGCCAGGAGTGGGGCCCTGCATGCTGGAGACCACATCCTGTCCATCAACGGCACCAGCACGGAACACTGCTCACTGCTTGAGGCCACCAAGCTCCTGGCCAACGTGTCAGAGAAAGTGCAGCTGGAGATACTGCCTGCGCCCCAAAGTCGGCGGCCCCTGAAGCCCTCAGAGGCAGGTAGGTCTCCGTGGAGGGTCTCAGGGCCTAGATCTGAGAGCTGATGGGGAGGGGTGCACAAGGCCCAAGAGGCCTAAGACTGAAGCCCTGGGCAAGCTAAAGTTTACTGGAACAAATGTCCATCCACAGGGAAGCTCAAACTGTCAAGTGTAGCAGCTGAGGGTGAGGAAGTGGGGCAGGGAAACAACTTGAATGGGTTGACAGTCTGCTGGCATGGATGCCCCAAAGCCAGTTCCATCACTGGTTGCATCAATAGAAGTATAAGGGCTACAACAAGGGAGGGGGACCTCCCTTCTGTGCTCAGTGCTGCTCAGAGCTTGGGTCCTGGGCTCAGCTCAGGGCCCTCAGCAGGTCCGAGGAGGCAGCCGGACAATCGGAAGGCCTTGGAGTATGCCCCCCAACAACTCTAGTGAGGAATTGGGTTTCCCAGGCTGGAGCAGAGCTGTGTGCCCATAATTCCAAGAGCAGAGACAGCATGTGGTCTAGGAGAACCAGAGGGCAGAGCTGGAGCCCAGGACGGGTTGGAGGGTGGTCACGAGGCAGCTTCCAGCAAAGAGCAAGGCAGTGCCTCCAGCAGTCCAAACCTCGGGCTTCGGGCTCAAATCCCAGCACTGGCCCTGCCGAACAGGCGCTTTGCTGCCCTGAGCCGTAGTTGCCTCATCTGTAAGTGACATGAGGACCCAAGTACACAGCCCTGGGGGTGTTAAATGAGCAAACGGACAGAGCACAGCCCAGAGCCTTGGTCAGAGTGGTCAGGCTGTGAATTCCAGCCCTAGGACACAGTGCTTGTGCTCTGCTCGCTCTTCCTTTGCAAGCTCTGTCCTCTGCAAGTGAAAGAAATTCTCCAGATCAGTTGTAGGGGAACAGGCTTTGAGGAGGGTTCATCTCTTGGGTCTCTGCCAGGAACTGAAAAAGGCCCATCAGTCTACCTACATGACTGATACAGGAGGCCTGGGGACTCAAAGTAGTGCCATTCATTTTTGCATCATATACTGAGCGCCTGCTGTGGGCCAGGGTTAATGCCTGGGTTTCCCATGGGTCATCTCAGGTCATCCCCATGGCAAGTCTGTGAGCTCAGTATTACTATTTCCCCACTTTCTGGAGGTGGCTGAGACGACTGAAGCTCAGAGAGGTGCGGTGCCTCCCGAGGCTGCACTGCTGCCAGCAGTCCTCCTGGCCTCAGCTAGGTGCCAGGCCCTGCTCTAAGTTACCTCATTCTGATCTTCCCCATTATCCTAGAAGGTAACCACTCTTTTAGTCCTATTATACAGGTACTGATAAGGAGGCACAGAGGAGCTAAGGGATTTGTCAAGCTGCCTGGCAGCTGGCTCCAGAGCTGGCCTGAGAAAGGCTGAAATCAGGGGTAGGAAGCGAGAGCACCCTCAGATTGCACTGCAGGTGCGAGCAAGCCTTGGCCGACCCAGCCCGGGCTCTGGGACTCAGGTTGCCCCTCAAAGCCCAGCATGGGGCAGAAATAGGCACTAGTGCCCCTGTGTGCTCAGCCCCTGACCGAGGCCACCCAGGTATACACTGCAACTGGATGCTGTCTGCCAACTGCACCCCCAAAGCTGATGGGGCCAGTTCTTGGGTTCCAGAGCCAGGTGGCCTGCTTCAAAGCCTGCTCCACCAGCTCCTGGCCTGGGCCTGGGCCTGCTCTCCCTCCCATCCCTGCTGCTGCATGGCTGAGTCCCAAGCACAGTGCCTGGCACACAGTGGGCATCAGGGACACCTGAGTAGTACCTTGAATGCCTCTGGACTTGAGGGGAAACGATCTCCCAGCCCTGCTTTCCTCACTTCACCTTGCGGATGGCAGCCCAGCCTGCAGGGGGCAGGGTGAGTTCAGACTTGCTCAGCCCCTAACACCTGCACCTCTCTCCCCCTTCTTCCCCCACCCAGCCACAGTGAAGGTGCAGAGGAGCGAGCAACCACACCGCTGGGACCCCTGCGTGCCCTCCTGCCACAGCCCCCGGCCTGGCCACTGCAGGACGCCCACCTGGGCCACACCTGCTGGCCAAGACCAGAGCCGATGTAATGTGCCCACCCCACCATGGCTTGTGCATGTTTTATAAGGGAGGACACCAAGACTCAGAAAAATTAGGGGGCTTCTCAGTGTCACCTAGCACATTAATGATGGGATGAGCCCTTGTTCCTGGCAACTGGTTTCACTCTGCAGTCTTTGAGGCCCAGAGGGGGTGAGACTTGCCTGAGGTCACAATGATGGTTGGGATGAAGAAGAAGAAGGCCTCCCTGTCTCTCTTTGGTTAGGCAGCTCCCTGGTACCTACTCTGCAGCAGGGTGGAGAGCCCTGCTGGGGTTCACGAGGCTACGCTTTCATCTCCCCAGCCTTGTCCTCGACTCCTTTTTCCTCACCGACCATGAATCACGCCTTTCCCTGCACTAACCCCAGCACTCTGCCCTGTGGATCACAGCCCATGAGCCCCCGAACTACAATGGGGCGGAGGAGGCAGCGACAAAGGGAACACAAGAGCTCATGTAAGCCATGGTCTCTTCCCTCCCCTTTGGGCTGTGTGTATGCCCAAAGATGAGAGAGATGTGCCAAAGGGTGGGGAGTATTTTGGCCAGGTGTATGTTGAGGGGGTCATTAAATAGCATGAGTGCTATGCCAGGTTACCATAGATGGTTGAGAAGATTGTGTACTGCACAAGGACATACCTGTGAGGTGCCAGTTAACATTGTACATTTTAGTCTTGCATTTTTATTATGGAAAATTCCCAGCGTGTGGTGACAAAATGTCTTGAGGAAAGGATGCCTTTTCAGATTGGAAGGTCTCACAGTAACTCCATTTCATTTTTCTTTCATTCGGTTCTTCTTATCCATTCAAGGAGAAGGTCTGACTGAGTGTGGTGTAACTGTGTCTTTACTACCTCTGTGACACTTTTAAATTTCCTCCAAGCCAAAGACACAGGCCTGACACTAGCCATCCAGAATGTAATAATTTTCACTTTTACTTTATATGCATGTTTCTACTTACCTTTTATTTATAGACATTTCTTTTCATTTATGATCACTATATGTAGTTCTCTTTTGAAATAAAGGTAATTAAACATTTTAAAAAGTGAATAAATATTAAGAATAGATAATAGTGAATGATAATGCAGGAACCATGTGGAAGTAGTAGAAGTCATGAGAATGCCCAGAATTTTGAAATCTTTTCTAGGAAGAGTCTTTCCTTTGTTGATAAAGAAAGTGTACTAGGCCTCTTGCTGTGTGAGTTGCAGAGGCCTCCAGGAAGAATGGAAGGTCAAACTGGGCCATTTGAAATTGAACCAGATGAGGGAAAAGAGGAATACAAATCACCTGGTACCTGAAAGGTACTAAATTTGATTATGAGCTTCCTGGCAGCCGAGATGAAAAGGGAAACTGATTTCAGAATCAGATGATAGATAAAACACGCCTTTACCAACCACCTTTGTCAACCATCAAAGCTGCAGGTGTGTAGGTGAAAAGATAAAAAAATGCTCTTTATAGGGGACTATAGGAATTGGGGGTTCTCGGTACACCTTACCTGTCCTCTTGCTGGGATGGTGACTAATAAAGTATTATCATTATTATTATTGATGATAATAGTTAACGTTTTTCAGTTCTTCCTCTAGTAGGCACTGTTCTTGTCATTAGGGATATCACTGAAGAAAAAATACAAATATAACACATTATACCTAACAATAGTATGCAAAGACATAATAGTATAATTAGTAATAGAATGAAATACAGTAGTAAATCTTATGTAATAAATGATATCCAACATCCATATTAATATTACAGATGTATTTATATATGGAATTTAAGACATATAAAATAACATACCAAATAGTTAGATATAAAGTTATCAGATGACCCAGCAATTCCACATCTAGGTATATGCTCCAAAGAAATGAAAATATATGTCCACCTAAAACTTGTGCTCGAATATTCATAGCGCCATTATTCATTTTAGCCAAAAGGTGAAAATAACCCAGACATCCATTAAAGGATGAATGGATAAACAAAATGTGGTATATTCATACAATGGGATATTACTCAGCCTTAAAAAGGAGTGGGATTTTGATAATGCCACAATATCAGATGAACCTTGAAAGTGCTGGGTGAAAGAAGCCAGACACAAAAGACTATGTACTATATAATTCCATTTATATAAAATGTCCAGAGTAGGCAAATCTATAGAGAAGAAAATAGATGAGTGGTTACTTAGGTCTGGGAGGGACGGGAGGATTTGGGGCCATGGCTGAAAGGAGCAGTGTTTTTTCTTGAAGGGGTGAAAATTCTAAAATTGATTCTGGTGAAGGTTGCACAACTCTGTGTATATATATTAAAACCAATGAGTTGTATACTTTAAATTGGTGGATACTATGACAGGTGAATTGTATCTCTAAGCTGTTACCAAAAATAACATAAAATATACAATAGTGTACAATAACGTTAGAACAGAACGGAACATTTATCAGTGGCCCTCAGAACCTATGTTTCACAACATGACAGACCCAGGAGTTGTCTTCCGTAACCCCTGCTCCAGCCCTGCCAGGTGGGAGTTATTATCCCATTGTACAGATGAGGAAACCAAGGCTCAGAATGGGCTGTGACTTGGCCAGCCCCAGGGCAAGTCAGAACTCACGCTCACCCACCTCTGAGGCCTGGGGGTGGGTTGGCTCTGGCAAGAAGGCCTCTCTGGCCTGAGTGCCATGCCCACCTGCCCCACAGTGTCACTGGCCTCCAGCACAGTGGGGCCGGGAGGGCAAATCGTGCACACAGAGACCACAGAGGTCGTGCTCTGCGGAGACCCCCTCAGCGGCTTTGGCCTGCAGCTCCAGGGAGGCATCTTCGCCACCGAGACTCTGTCCTCTCCTCCCCTTGTGCGTTTCATCGAGTCTGACAGCCCAGCGGAGAGGTGAGCTTATTGCCCCTTCCCCACTGGGCCTGCCACTGCAGTTCAGGGGGCTCATGGACAGACAGGGAAATTGAGTCGCACACCAAGCCTAGCTTCACAAGCATATCTCACTGAGCCATCACATCAGCTCCATCACCAGCCAGTTTGCAGATGAGGAAACCAAGGCACAGAGAAGCTGATTCACTTGACCCAAGACACAGTTTGTGAGTGACCCAGGACTTGAACGCCTATCTATAGCTGAAGTCAGAATTCTCTGTGTATACATACTGTAAAGCATGGTATTATCCCCATTAGCTAGACAGAGAAACGGGTCTGACAAGGTCATGCCCTTAGCCAGAGGCACGTGGCAGATGGCCTGAGGGTCTGTAGCTGGTCCAGGGCAGAGCTGAGAGTCACACTGCAGGCCTAAGGGTGCCCGGGGTGCCCTTAGCCCTGGAGTTGTGATGGTGATGGAGTTTCCTTTCCCTGCTGGGCTGCCCTGGACTCAGGTGTGGGCTGCTGCAGGTGGGGGACCGGGTCCTGTCCATCAACGGCATTGCCACCGAGGACGGGACAATGGAGGAAGCCAACCAGCTGCTGCGTGATGCTGCACTGACCCACAAGGTCGTGCTGGAGGTTGAGTTCGATGTGGCAGGTGAGTGGCCCTCACTTCCTTCATGCTTTGGGACCCTGGGCTTCCTCCTCTCTCCCGTTCTTGCCTGGAGCAAATGCTTCTCCACCCCCAGCCCCTGCCCGCCCATGATCCTCTTCCCAGGGGTGTTTGCAGCCTATGCCCAAGCACTGATGGTGGGCAGGAAGGCACTGGCCCAGGAGGAGAGAGCTCCACACACCAGCGTGAGGTGTGATGAGGGACTTCTGCACCAGAATGAGACCTAGGGAGGGCAGAGGGCTGAAAATGCTTCATGCCCCTCTGCAGGGCTGGGGCAAAGAATCCCAAACAACAACTCTGGTTAGAATTCTGGTTCTGAGAGTTGGACACTCTGGGACTTTGGACAGGACAGTTTGTCCCCCGATCCCCAGAGTCCCCAACTGTAAAATAGAGAACAGAAGCCTTCTACAAAGGATGTCATTCAGCTTAGATGAGATAAATCACATGGAAACACATAGCACATAGTAGGTGCTCAGTAAATCGTCACTGGATCCGAATTGGGTTGGGTTTGGCTACAGGAAACCCCCAGGCTGGCAGTCATGAGGTCTGGGCTCCAGTCCAGGGTCTGCTCTGACCAGGTGGATTGGTGGTCTTGGACAAACCCATCAGCTCACCATACCTCAGTTACCTTATCTGTCAGGTGGATGAAGACAGGATGAGGTTTGGGACAGTGACTTTTTGGGGTCTCTCCCAGCTGGACCAGAATGGGTGTGGGACCAGTGGGTCTCACATGGGTCCACATCTGTTTGTACCAGAGTCTGTCATCCCGAGCAGTGGCACCTTCCACGTGAAGCTGCCCAAGAGGCGTGGTGTGGAGCTGGGCATCACCATCAGCTGTGAGTCCCCTCCCTGCCGCACCATCCTGCCTGGCCCAGGGGAAAGGCTTGGGGTGGGAGGGCTGGCTGACCTGGGCTCCCTCCACCTGCAGTGCCCAGCTGCGTAACATCAGGCAAGACCCGAGCCACTTGATCCCTCCATTTCCTGCTCTGCACAATGGGCTTTTGGAGATCTCCCAGTGGGTTTAAGCAGTTTGTAAGGCACCAAACACACTGGCCATGTTTGGTTTTCTACCTCTATGTTCCCAGGGCCCAGAAGAGGCCTGGAACACAGTAGGTGCTTAATTCATGTTTGTCAAAGGAATGAAAGTGCAGGACAGCAGAGTGAAGAAAGCAAGGTAAATACTCAAGCATAGGTAACTTGAGACCCTCCTACAGCTCAGTGCCCTTCTCTGAGTAAAAGCTGAAGTCCTCAGGGCCGATGAGGTCCTTTGTGATCCAGTCCCATGACCTCTGATATCATTCCCTCCCATCTCCCTGGACTGCACCAGGGAGTGCCACTGCTGGTCTCCTGGCAGCCTCAGGGCCTTTGCACTGGCTATCCCTTCTACCCTCTTACCCTGCCTCCTTCAGGTTTTCAACAATTTAAAATTGCACTGTACTCTTCTTCCTTCTTTGTCTCCATAGCGTCTTTATCATTTGACAAACTATATGTTTTTAAATGTTGCTGATTATCTGTGACCCCCGCTGGATCACTGGCTGTAGGAGGGCCGGGATCTTTGTTTTGTTCACTGCGGATTTCCAACCTGGCACATAGCAGGGACTCAGCACATGTTTGTTGAGTGAATGAGTGAATGAGTATAGGATAAATTGGTGAGTAGAGAGAATGAGGCTGACTAGGGTCTCAGAGCCAGCTGAGCTCTGCCTGGCTCAGCACAGCTCTGGCGCACAGCTCTGCCCTGGGCACCTGAGGGGCAGGAGGCTGGGGTGAGGGCTGGAGATACCACCTGCTTAATCTTAACGTTACCAGTCCCACTGCCCTGCTGAGGTCGTCTCTCAGCAGGTGTCCACTCTGGCTATGGCAGCATTGCTGGGCTGACTCCATGTCAGGCAAGGGGTGCTTGGACACTATTCCTCAGGTCCTGCCCCTTAGGATAGCTGTAGGAAGCCACCAAGAACAGATGACAGGTACTGCAATCCTCTGTGAATGACCCCCAGTCCCCAGCTGGGCTTGATGGAGGGACAGCTGTCCAGAAGGGCTGCTGCAGAAGCTTCCTCCTGCCCCAGACTCTGCAGTCAATGGAGGTGGGTTAAGCAATGTAGGAGGGGAGAAGCTGCTTCCAGCTGAGGAACCTCTGGGCAGGGCCATCACACAGGGTGAACACGATACAAAGGTGCCCATTCAAGGTGGGCTTAAAATTTTGTGACATTTTCTCAATAGACTAAATGGAAGAGATACACTTGTTTTATCTGCAAAGATATCACACTGGGCTATAAAACCCTCCTACCATCTGGTCACTAATGGGAAACCCATTAGCTCAAATGAATTCTTTTTGCAAGAAAACAGCCACTCATGACACCCATTGTCTTAGGTCACATTCTCCCAGAAACAGCTTTTCAGACAACGAGTCATGTGCAGGGCGTTTATTGAGGAGGGCTCTTGGGATCAACACCTGCAGGTGGTGAAGGATGCAGGACTGGTCAGAGAGAGAAGTTGGGTTGTGATGCAGTCTCAACAGAGGGCTCAGCCAATCCACGAGAGTTCTAGAGCAGCAAAGGCCTTGCAGGTTGCCCTGACTAAGGCTGGGAGCCAGGCCTTTGCACCACTGTGTCCCAGACGCTGGATGAAGGCTGCACCCAGGAGCGGTATAACCTCGGGTGAGGCAGCTCCCTGGGCCAAAGGCAGTTCCCAGAGGGGCTCCTGCTGGGAGCCATGCAGCCAGCACTCCGTGAAGCTGGGGGAAGGAAGAACTTGATTGTAGAAGGGTCACCTGGTTCTGGGTCCCGACCCTGTGCCAGGTTCTGGGGCACAGACAGCAGCCAGATGCAGCTCCGCAAGGAGCTAAGAGTTTGCTGGGGGATGGGTTGAGCAGGAGGGAAAGGGGCTGATATGAAATAAGCACGTACTGTGTGCCAGGATCCATGTTAGGTTTTGTGCCTGCATTGTATAGTTTAATCTCATGACATCTCCATTAGGTCTGTGGCATCATCCCAATTTTAGAGAGGGGAAACTGAGGCACAGAGAGGTGAGCTGATTTGCTCATAGACCCTTGGGCAGGAAGCAGTGAGAGCAGGGCTTATGGCTGGCTGCAAGTCCATACCCTGACTCCGGGTCTGAGGTGGTCAAAGGTCAGATCCATGGCCTCTTTTCCTCTAGCAGCCAGCAGGAAGCGAGGGGAGCCCCTGATCATCTCTGACATCAAGAAAGGCAGTGTGGCACACAGGTAGGAGTGCCCTGGGCACAGGGTGAAAGAAGTAGCTAACTGGGTGGGGGGTACGGTCCTTCACGTGCCAGGCTCCTTCCCGTCCCCCACCCCTGCTTATGCAGGACTGGCACCCTTGAGCCAGGTGATAAGCTGCTGGCCATCGACAATATCCGCCTGGACAGCTGCCCCATGGAGGATGCCGTGCAAATTCTGCGGCAGTGCGAGGACCTGGTGAGACTGAAAATACGGAAGGACGAGGACAACTCTGGTATGGCCCCAGACCACCCTGCCCCATCTCAAGGTCCACCGCCCAAGCCAGCAGATTTCCAGCTTGTAATTCAGGGCTCCCTCTGGCCAAGTAGGTAGGGTGGTGGCCTGGCTGGTGGTGGAAACCCCTTGAATGAACAAAGGCAGGGAGGAGCAGGACCACAGACTGCTCACTTCCCTGGGGCTGCTCTGGGGCCCTGTGAGGTTGGTGGGAGTTAGAGTCTGAGACACTGCCTGAATCATCCACGCTCAGCACAGAGCCCAGCAGAGGAGACCCACAGGGAGCAGCTGTGGGCAGATGGCGTGGGGCAGGCACCGAAGGAGGGGTGCCCTGCTGCACGGGTGGGTGTGCGAATTGTGTGAGTGAATCATCAAAGGCCTAGACATCTATCTGAGGCCAAGGGGACACCAGTGAGTGAACTGCATAGAATGTAAGAAAAATGATAGAGGTTGGGAGGCAAATGGGAAGGGTTAAGGGCTGTGGCCACCAGACAGCAGGTCCCAGAGGGGCAGCTGCCAACACCCACCCTGGAAAAGATGGTCACTTGTGGGCATATTCCTTTTTTTTTTTTTTTTAAGAAAACCTGGAAATCTGATTTCTTCCTATCATCATCACTATTATCAGCATCGTTGTTGTTATTTCGTTGTGTGTGGAATCTGTATTTTAAAATGTTTGTTGCAAGTTTCTTGTCTTTTTTTAAATGGTGTCTGAGAGCAAGAAAATATTTCTGGCAGAAGATGGCCTCAGGGTTCCCAGGTTCTGCCATCCTTGGTCCTGGCATGAGTGGGGGTGTGAATTAATGAATGGGTGAGCTGGTGAGTGCACCAAGGCTTCGGGACTGGGGATGCCCATCTCCTGGGCCCTGCCCCACTGGACCCGCCCCGGTGGTGCCCCTCTTGCAGATGAGCAGGAGACCACGGGTGCCATCAGCTACACGGTGGAGTTGAAACGCTACGGGGGCCCCCTGGGCATCACCATCTCGGGCACAGAGGAGCCTTTTGACCCCATTGTCATCTCGGGGCTCACCAAGCGTGGTCTGGCTGAGAGGTGAGCTGGGGTTCTGTGGGGAACACGCAGGGTAGGCCAAATTAGATTCTGACCTTTGTTCCAACATTGATGTGCTGGGTGACATGGGGCCTGGCCCAGCCCTGTCTGAGCCTCACTCCGCAGAGGCAGGCCAACCCTAGGCAGACCTCCTGGCTCCAGGTAAGTGTGGGATAAATGTGCATGAAGCCCCCTGCTCCCACTCAACCTGGAGAGTCCAGGTTTCTGGGAAGTCAGCGCTGCGAGCCTTTCTGGAGCACCTTCTGGGTGCCCTCTCAGTACAGGGATGTGTCCCCAGAACCTTGTCCCAGCACGGCCTGGGGCTTTCCTAAGGCATTAAGGGGTACCCTGCTGTCCTCTTCCCTAGAAAATGTCCCCCAAACTGTGGCAACTGGGAGGGGCCTTGAGAAGGGGTGTCCCAGGCTGTCCATGGCCGGGAAGCGCGTGGATCTGGGGCCAGAGGTGGAGCAGGTCCCCCAGGGTCACAGGGAGGTGACCCCGTGTGGGTAGGTGGAGCTTTGCCGGGACACCGAGAGGAGCTGGCTGTAAAGGGAGAGCCTGGCCTGGGCGGCCTGGAGGAGGACACAGCGCGGGACTGGCCACACCGCCTGGGGGGCGGAAGGAGGGGAGGAGGTCGGCCAGGATTCTGGGGCTGAGGCTGGGCAGGAAGGCTTCCTGTGTCCCCGCTCCTCGAGCGCCCCCTGCTGGCCACCAGGCAGACTGCAGGGGTCCTCGGGGACTTCTCACCTTTACTGGGAACCTACTGTGCGCCAGCCGGGTCTCCATGCTGGGACCCCAGACAATCCCTCCTGCCTTCGCTGGGCGGATCTAGCTTGGCACTGTCCAACTGCAGTATAACGGGAGCCACAGATTTACCTCTAGCTTCCTAGCAGCCACATTAGAAAAGTAAAAAGAAACTAATAAAATAAATCTCAACTATATTTATTTACATATGCAGTCAATGTAAAATTACTACAAAATATTACATATTCTATTCTTCATACTATGCCTTCAGAATCCAGTGTGTATTTTATACAGTCAGCACATCTCACCTTGGCCCAGGCACATTTCAGAGTCCAGTGGCCACACACGGCCGGTGGCTGCCACAGGGACAGGACAGCTCTGGCTGACTGAATCCGCCAGTCCCTGGCCCTCCGTGAGCTCCCACCTGGGGGCCTCCTGCCCCACCCCCAGCGTCTCCCGCAGCCCTGTCCTGGCTGCTCCCCGCTATCACTGTCCCCAGCCCACTGCCCAGAGAGACCCTTTAATTGGTCAGGGTGAAGGGCAGACATCTGCATTTTTCAAAAGCTCCTGAGGTGATTCTAATGGTGTCCAGGTAGAAAACCACGGGCCAGGGCTTTGCTCCTGTCGGGCCTGATCAGCCCCTCACACCCCAGGTAATTATGGGCACCCGGTGATTATGCTTGTTGTCTGGGTGTGGAAACAGGCCCAGAAAAGGGAAAGGCCACCCATGGATTTCTGCTGGAGGGAAGCATGAACCCCTTTTGCCCATTCATCCATCATTTATAATTTGATAAACTAAGTAATATCACCTCCACTTTACAGATGAAGGAACAGAGACTCAGGGAAGTTAAGTAACCGGCCCAACGTCATATAGCTAGTATTTGGCAGCTAGTATGTGGGATTCAAACCATGCTCACAATTCATGCTTGACGCTGGTTCCAGAACCTAACTTTAGGGTCAGGCAGGATAATCCCCTCCTGGTCTCTAGACTTTATACCTCTATTCATGCAACCCAAGGTCACCCTTGCTGCTGCTGCTTTTTTTTTTTTTAAGTCAGCTTTAACTGAGGTCAGCCAGGATTGTGCCATGGGGTTCCTGACTTTCCTGAGGGCAGAGCCCCATTCTGAAGCCCTGAGTGTCTGACTCCCATTATTCTTGCCCTGTGCCCCTCCTCAGGACTGGCGCGCTCCATGTCGGGGACCGTATCCTGGCCATCAACAGTGTGAGCCTCAAGGGCCGACCACTGAGTGAGGCCATCCGCCTCCTGCAGGTGGCTGGGGAGACGGTCACACTGAAGATCAAGAAGCAGCTGGACCGTGAGCCTCACCCCAGGCCCAGGGCATCCAGCCCTTGTAGGGAGGGAGATGCCTCTGCGCCATGCCAGGCTTGTGTGCCTAACCTCATGGAATGCCCACTGCATCCTGTGGAGGCGGGAGGCTGCCTGGGACAGCTGAGGAGACAAGAGAGGGCAGTGATGGGCCCCGGGGTCACACAGCAGCAGTGGGGGTGTCCTCACTGCCTTCTGCCTCAGGACTGCGTGTGGTGGCGACTCGTGCCTTCCTCAGTTTCCCCGGAGTTTGTGCCCTGTGCCCCGGCAGTGGGAGGAGCCTGCACTTGAGGGGCTTCCTTCTCATCATCTGGGTGGCGGTGCTGCTCACCATGTGACTGTGGGCTTGTGGTTTGGCCTCTCTGAGCCTCAGTTTTGCCATTTATGACAGGAGTTTTCTAATTAGGGTGCCAGCTCCCACATGTCAGACTGCCTAGCAGCAGCCCCTGGGGCTCAGTGCGTTAGAGTTCCTCTGGCAGACTGAAGGGGGGAGACAGGCTTGCTGAGCATCCCTGAGGTCAGAGGCCAGTGGCACTGACACCCTCCTGTCCTCGTAGGCCCCCTCCCTCGCCGCAAGTCGGGCAGCCTCAGTGAGACCAGCGATGCTGATGAAGACCCACCAGAGGCCCTCAAAGGAGGCCTGCTGGCTGCCCGCTACTCACCCGCTGTGCCCAGTGTGGACAGTGCCGTGGAGTCCTGGGACAGCTCGGCCACAGAGAGTGGATTTGGGGGCCCAGGTAACATCTCAGGGCCCTCAGGCAAGCAGCATGCTCTCTCCTGACCACCCCAACTGCCAGGCCTTTGCAGGGGCTGTTCCTTCTGCTTATCCTCCTCCCTCCTCCCAGTGGAGTGAGGCCTCTAGGTAGTGGCCTTGGGGGGCTGTCAGTCCTGCTCCCCACTCGCTGCGTATCTGCCCTCTCTGGGTCTCAGCGTCCCCATCTTGAGCACTGGGTCACCATCTGTCAGCTCGCCCCCTGGGGCAGGGTCTTTAGCCCCCAAAGGCAGGGAGAGGGGGATGGTCAAAACAGTGAGCCTCTGTGTCAGACAGGGGGTCAGCCAGACCAGGCCAGTAGGGCGGGGACAGGGTCCTGGGGCCCCAGGCAGTAGCTCTTCTGCTGGGGGCTCAGGAGGTTGGGTGGGGGTGGTTATGGGGTAGCAAACAGGTGGCAGGGGCCCTCAGGGGACTGTAAGGCCTATCCGGGGTTACCCAGCGCAGCTGGAAAAGAGGCAGGAAGAGGGGGAGGGGAAGGCACTGAGCATACAGACGCCCAGTCTCTCCACCCCCAGGTTCCTACACCCCACAGGCGGCCATCCGGGGCGTGATCCCCCAGGAGTGGCGGCCCAGCCGGCTGAGAAGCAGCCCCCCACCCACTGATCCCCGAAGGACGAGCTATACCCCAGCTCCTGCCGATGAGAGCTTCCCCGAGGAGGAGGAAGATGAGGACTGGGACCCACCAGCTAGGTCTGTGGTGGGAATGCCGTGAACGGGGAGACGGTTCTGGTCTCCTGGCTAGGATGCGTGAGGGTAGCCAGAATGGTGGGGACAATGAAAGAGTCTTGTCTGGTGCCCAAGGAGTGGCACCTCCTGGGAGAGGAGAGGAAGCAGTTAGCACCGCAGGGGCAAAGGTGCAGAAGGTGATTGCCCTTCCCAAGTCTGCTAAGCCCCTGTTCTCAGAAAAGCAGCGGCTGACTCAGACCCCCTTGACTTGATGGCCCCCTGCAAGCGCCCTCAGGTCACAGGCACCAGCCCTGGGCTGGGGATCTGGTGGTTTGCGAAGTACTGACTTGGGAGGACGCAGCAGCCCCGCCCTGGAGGAGACTCCTGCAGAGAGCAGGTGGGGGTGGGGAGCAAGGCTGCTCCTGATCCTGCCTCGCCACCCCCTGCGCACCTCTGCTTCGGGCCAGGCTGAAGCAGCAGCCCCTGGGGCTCAGTGCGTTAGAGTTCCTCTGGCAGACTGAAGGGGGGAGACAGGCTTGCTGAGCATCCCTGAGGTCAGAGGCCAGTGGCACTGACACCCTCCTGTCCTTGTAGGCCCCCTCCCTCGCCGCAAGTCGGGCAGCCTCAGTGAGACCAGCGATGCTGATGAAGACCCACCAGAGGCCCTCAAAGGAGGCCTGCTGGCTGCCCGCTACTCACCCGCTGTGCCCAGTGTGGACAGTGCCGTGGAGTCCTGGGACAGCTCGGCCACAGAGAGTGGATTTGGGGGCCCAGGTAACATCTCAGGGCCCTCAGGCAAGCAGCATGCTCTCTCCTGACCACCCCAACTGCCAGGCCTTTGCAGGGGCTGTTCCTTCTGCTTATCCTCCTCCCTCCTCCCAGTGGAGTGAGGCCTCTAGGTAGTGGCCTTGGGGGGCTGTCAGTCCTGCTCCCCACTCGCTGCGTATCTGCCCTCTCTGGGTCTCAGCGTCCCCATCTTGAGCACTGGGTCACCATCTGTCAGCTCGCCCCCTGGGGCAGGGTCTTTAGCCCCCAAAGGCAGGGAGAGGGGGATGGTCAAAACAGTGAGCCTCTGTGTCAGACAGGGGGTCAGCCAGATCAAGCCAGTAGGGCGGGGACAGGGTCCTGGGGCCCCAGGCAGTAGCTCTTCTGCTGGGGGCTCAGGAGGTTGGGTGGGGGTGGTTATGGGGTAGCAAACAGGTGGCAGGGGCCCTCAGGGGACTGTAAGGCCTATCCGGGGTTACCCAGCGCAGCTGGAAATGAGGCAGGAAGAGGGGGAGGGGAAGGCACTGAGCATACAGACGCCCAGTCTCTCCACCCCCAGGTTCCTACACCCCACAGGCGGCCATCCGGGGCGTGATCCCCCAGGAGTGGCGGCCCAGCCGGCTGAGAAGCAGCCCCCCACCCACTGATCCCCGAAGGACGAGCTATACCCCAGCTCCTGCCGATGAGAGCTTCCCCGAGGAGGAGGAAGATGAGGACTGGGACCCACCAGCTAGGTCTGTGGTGGGAATGCCGTGAACGGGGAGACGGTTCTGGTCTCCTGGCTAGGATGCGTGAGGGTAGCCAGAATGGTGGGGACAATGAAAGAGTCTTGTCTGGTGCCCAAGGAGTGGCACCTCCTGGGAGAGGAGAGGAAGCAGTTAGCACCGCAGGGGCAAAGGTGCAGAAGGTGATTGCCCTTCCCAAGTCTGCTAAGCCCCTGTTCTCAGAAAAGCAGCGGCTGACTCAGACCCCCTTGACTTGATGGCCCCCTGCAAGCGCCCTCAGGTCACAGGCACCAGCCCTGGGCTGGGGATCTGGTGGTTTGCGAAGTACTGACTTGGGAGGACGCAGCAGCCCCGCCCTGGAGGAGACTCCTGCAGAGAGCAGGTGGGGGTGGGGAGCAAGGCTGCTCCTGATCCTGCCTCGCCACCCCCTGCGCACCTCTGCTTCGGGCCAGGCTGTTCCTTCTGCCTAGGGAAAGGCCACTGACAACCTTTCTCTCTCCTCGCCGGGGCAACACCTACTCATCCTTCAAAACCCAGCTTGGGCAAGCTTCCCTGACTTCCTCAGGCAGAGGCATTCCTCCCTCCCTCCCTCCCTCCCTCCCTCCCTCCACGGGTACCCACCGCCCCTGTGCCAGCCTCTAAGCTGCACTGGCTGCCTTGTGTCGACCCGGTTAATTACCCGGCTGCTGTTTCTTCCGTGTGGCACCCCAAGTTCGGGGCCTGGTGTACTTTGTGGATGAATCCTCAACCCCTTAAGAATAGGCCCATGCCTCCTCCCCTCCGTAGCCCTGCGCCCCACAGAGCCTGGCTCAGGGAATGGTTTAGAATCGACTGGAATGGAGAGACTGTCCTTCAGCCTCCCCAGTCGTCTCAAGGCCGGAGGCAGCTGGTGTCTGGGCCCCTAGGGGAGGAGAGCCTGCATGCCTCTGTAGGAGAGGAAGTGCTTTGCAAACCACAGCATGCTCCAGAAACAGCCAGGACTTTGTCGATGGCAAGTGGGTTTGTGATCTATGAAGTGTGAACGTGTGACTTATATTCTGAGACTTGATTTTAGAGCTGATAACAGGCGCAGTCAGCCTGTGATGGGAGTTAGGGGGTGGGCTTGACCCCTTCCCCAGCACAAATACTCCATCCTCTCCATCCGTCTGTGTCCTGCTGGCTCCAGCTCTGTCCCTGTCACTGTCCTGCAGTGCCACATGTCTGGGTGGGGCCAGGAGCTGTCCTCTGGGGCTACACCATGGATCTCCTTTCTGTCTGTCTGTCTGTCTGTCCGTCTGTTTGTCTCTCTTCCCAGGCATCCTGTGTCACTGCTGTCCACCCCGTCTCATCTGCCCCTGTTCTAACTGGCAACCGACAGTCCTGGTCGCCCCTAACTGCGTCTTCCCCCTATTCTGTGTCACCAACCACTGCCCCGGGGCCCCAGCACTGCCACTGAGGACGCCTGCCTGCCTGCCCGCCCAACACCAGTGTGTGTGCCCATGGGAGACAAGCATGCTGATGGGATTGTGCTCAGTATAATGTGTGTGTGTGCACTCACCTGGCACCCGCTATGTAGAGGTGTCTGCATACATGTGCAGGCTGCACGGACACATGTTCGGGTATGACAGCACTGTAGTATGGCACATTGGGGTGTGTACACATGTGAACATGCCTGTGTCCTCATGTGGGCATTGCGACCATGTATGTGTGCATGCATGTGAGCACGCTCATGCCTGCCCAAGTTCTGAGTGTATTTTCAGAAAATGTGGGTCCAAGTGTGCACATTCAGATGCATAGGGACAGTTTTGTGTCTGTGCATGTGCAGTACATGGACATGGTGGTGGGCATGCCCTGTGGAAACGTGTGGATGTCGACATCAGTGACAGCATGGGAGATGAGGGGCCAGAGGGGCCGAGAGGGGAGTGCAGCCCTGCGGGAGGTCAGCATTGCCTGGGATGGAGCAGGCTGCCTGGGAGGAAGCAGAGGGGTCCAGCCAGGCCACTTCTGAAGCTCCTTTGTACTCTGAGAGCAGTTGTTCACCTTTCTGCTTTTCTTCCACATTTTCTCTGCACTGCATTCTAGTTGCTTTCCTAAATCTGTCTTCCAATTCTCTTCTAGGCTCTACTTAGTCTCCTGTTTCACCCATCTCCTTGTGTTTCATGTATTTCAACTTCTACGTCTTTTATTCTTATCAATTTGCTTCATTTTCCAAATCTTTGTGGTCTTTTTTCTTAATGTTTGTTTTTCATTTTCTTAGATTTCTGCACCAGACTTACTTTAGAGCTTCCTTTGATTTCTCTATTTTGTCGTAGTTCCCAGGGTACAGAGTCATCTGTTTGTTATGTCTGTGGGCAGGTGGGCCTTTTACTTCATCCCTGTGCTCACTCTGAGCAGTGGTTACTCCCATGGGCACCTCACACGGGCTCTGTGTTGTTGAAGCATCTCCGAGGCACTTCCTCATGTTTTTGCTGGTGCTTTTGAACTTTGCAAGTTCCAGACGAGGTTTTCACATTAATTTCTCAGCTCAGTGTTTCTACTACACTATTTGTGGAAGGCACATTCTGGCCCCACGCTCCTCCAGAGGTCACGCAGAGATGCCTGGTTTCTCACAAATGGTGTGCCCAGCCTACTCCAGTCCTGGTGGCCCCCTTCTGAAGCCCTGTGCCGGCAGGTGGACCTCCTGTCCCCATTCAACTGTGCGATGCCTCTCCCCCTGCCCTCTCTTTAGCCTGAATGGTACCCCAGCTCCTAATATATATGTCTGGTTCCATGGGCCAAATGTTACATTCCTGCTCATGCCTGTCTTCAAATATTTTTCTTGTTTTGAAAGTTTTTGTTTTTTAAAAATTTAACCTACCATCAAATTCAGAGGGAGGTGTGAGCTTCCTGTATCAGCTCAGTCTGCATCTTAACATGAAGTCCTAGAATTCTACAGTTTAAGGGCTCCAAGAGCCTATGACACCTGGACCCCCTTATTCTATTTTTTAATCACTCTGTTATCCCAAGATTCTGAGACTCCAGTCTTTCCTTTTGGACCCTGGCTGTCAGGCAGGTGAGGGCCAGTTGTTAGGGCGGGGGAAGGTGCCTCTGTTTCTCTCTGGCAATATCCTCTCCCCTGGTTTCCTCTGCTCCCCATCCCACAACCCGACAGCTTGGCCCTGAGACAGCTGTCATGATCTGCCTTCCCTCAGGGCAGACCTACCCCCGATGGCAGATAGAACCTCGCACTAATAGTGGAAACCCAGACACTGTGATGGACAGGAGGATGGAATTCCTAGCTGAGGAGGTTCCTCTGTGCCCAGGCAACTGGCTAATAGGACGTGCCCGATGTTTGTCCTCATCCCACCAATCCAGCGGCCCGCGCCCGCTGCCTGCATCTCCCACTCTGACGTGAATGAACTTCCCTCCGGGCCAGAGTGGCTGCTCTCAGCTTAAAGCACAGCGCTTATGATGCTGCTCAAACCTCCCTCTGCACGCCCTCCATTCACCTCTGACACAGGTCCTGCCCCTGCCCCTCTGTCCTTCCCTCTGTCACCACGCCTGTCCAGACCACGGTCATCTTTTGCTCCGACAACCCCATGGTTGCCGACAGCTCTGCCACCCAGCTTCCATTCCCACCTCTGCGGCCCAGTCTCTACCCAGCAGCTGGAAGATGCTCCTAAATCCACAAGTCTGTGTCTTCACTTAAATCCTTCAGAGTCTCCGGGTTGCTCTTAGGATGAACTCACCACTGCTTACTGTAATCCACAGGGCACTTCAGGGTCAACCCCCACCCCCCAGCCTCATTCCGTGCACCCCTTTCAGCTGCAGGGCCGCCTTCCACAGTCCCTGTCACAGGGCCTTTGCGCATGCTGTTCTGTCAGCCTGCCATGGACTCTTCCCTCCCCCACTTCTTGCTCATCTTTCAGACCTCAGCTCAGGAAGCTTCCCTGGCCCCTCACACTGGACAGATCCACCATCCTAGGCCCTCACCTTCCATGTACCTGGCCTCTGTGACATTTACTGCCATGTGTAATTTTGTCTTATTTAGTTTTGCAACTAGCAGGGTAGCAGAGTGGTTAAGACCCTCGACTTTGGAGCCAGACTCAGTTCAAATCTTAATCTCTCTAAGGCTCAGTGTCCTCATCTATAAAATGGAATACAAATAGTGGTGTTTGACTGTCTTGCAATATTGCAGAGAATAAAATGAGTTGTCTTACAGTACTTAGAGCTGAGCCCACACAGAGCAAGTGCTAATAATTCAGTGCCAAAGCTTAGTATTCAGACTGCTAGTGATCGGCGACCCTGCCCTGCCCACCACTGGACTGACAGCCCCAGGAGGGCGGGGACCTCGACAGCCTGCACATAGTAGGTGTCCATGGTGCTCACTGCAGACTGAGCATGCCTGAGTGAAGAGCTGTGTCCCCGCAGGCCTCCATCATGACGGGCACGGTGCAGAGCGTGGCCCTCCAGGGCAGGCCAAGCCACCGGTCCTGGCGGAGGGGTCAGGAGGTACGAGTTTCCCCTGAAGACATGCAGGAGCTGCTGCCGACACCCTTGGAGATGCACAAGGTGGGTGCTGGGCTGGGCACAGGAGGCCTGGACACACGTCCTGGTGCCATGAGGACTCACCGTGGGCTCCAAATGGGCTTTATTCTCCTCCACCATCACATAGGGATTTTGTACCAGGTTGAGCTTTCCTAAAGTCCCATCAGTTGGGTGATACACACACACACAGACACACACCTGTGGTATATACACACTAGCTATTACCAATATTTTTCTTTAAGTAGACTCACTTTTCCCCCCACTGAAGTTATTCCCCACTGTACATACATCACTACCTTAAACAAGAAGCCAGGATCTCTTGCTACCTTAGGTTACTATGTAGAAAGAAAAACACAAAGGAGGAAAACCTCTTTCCCAAGTGCCTTTAGAAGCCTTGGAGCCTCTTTAGTAAACCGGGAGAGAGCAAGTGTTAGTGGGTGGAGAAAGCATGGGCATCCCCCTGAGCCTTCCTCCTGGAGGGAAGCAAGAGGACTGAGGAACTGAGGAGGAGCCACCTGAGCCTCCCAACCCCATGACGGGAGCCTGTGAGCTGTGGGGTCTGCTGCAGGGGGAAGCCGAGCAGACACCAAGGGGCAAGGCAGCAAGGCATGGGGCGGTGTGGCTGGGCAGCAGGCCAGTTGTGGCTCCCAGAGGCATCGAGTGCCAGAGCAGGGACACCGGCTGCTGAGGGAGGCTGGGGGCGGCTGGGGCAAAGGTCAGACTCAGGGACTTCCTCCTCTTCCTGCTTGCAGGTGACCCTGCACAAGGACCCCATGCGGAATGACTTTGGTTTCAGCGTGTCAGATGGCCTCCTAGAGAAGGGCGTCTATGTCCACACTGTGCGCCCTGATGGGCCGGCCCAACGTGGGGGCCTCCTGCCCTTTGACAGGGTTCTTCAGGTAATGCTGGGGTGGGGATACCACGGATGGAGTGGCCTCACCTTGCCCCAGGCTGGGCAGAGAGCCCCAATTTTACCCTGGCTGAGCAGCCTTGGGCAGGTCATCCTTCCCACCTGAGCTCCAGCTTCCTCGTTGTGCAACGTGAATGACAGCACTGTCATATTAGTCAGGTTAGGCTCGGCTATGCTACAGCAACACACAACCCCAAATCTCAGTGGATTAACACATGCACATTTATATATTGCTTATAGTATGTGTCCACTGTGAGCCAGCATGGGCCTTGGTCTGCCAGGGTTGATGGAGGCTCCACCCTTTTGTAAATGCCTCAGACTGTGTGGCAGAGGAAATGAGCCACTGGAAAATGTGGGTTTTTTTTCAGCCTTTGCCCATGCCTGTCACTCCCCTTCACAGTATTATTGGTCAGAACCAGTCACGTGACCTCACAAGCTGCAAGGGAGCCTGGGAAATGTGGGTGAGCAGATGGAAAGCTATGGGGTCTCCCGGGGCCACCTTTCCTACACCCCAACTACTTTTGTTTCCTTGGTCTGATTTCCACCATATTTGTGCTGAATTTACTAGATATTTGTTTTCTTTAAATTGATAGAATTTTTCAACTGAAATTTATGTTAAAAGGAAACTTTTCATCTCAATTAGGAATGAAAACTCAGCACCCCTTGCTTGACATAAAAGGTCAAAGTAAAATACAAATAAAAGGGAAACAAAGCAATGTCACCAAATTGTGGATGGGAAGCTAAGTGTGTGATCTGCTCCTTTATGTCAAAAAAGGGAGAGAAGCAGGTGTTAGAGGGATGTGAAGGGTGTGCTAGCAGCCCCCTGGAACTTCCACTTTGATAAAACCTACCTGACCTTCTCTAGATTGACCCTGTGTCTGTGTCTGTGCATTTTCGGAAATCCCAGACTCCCGGCCACCTCAGCCCAGGCTGAGCTGATTCTGGCCTGTCCCCTTTGCTCTGCATGGTGCAGGTCAACCGCGTTCGCACGAGGGACTTCAACTGCTGCCTGGCAGTGCCACTCCTGGCTGAGGCGGGTGACACCCTGGATCTGGTCATCAGCCGCAACCCGCTGGCACAGAGCAGCCGGGCCCCGCGGGCACCAGGCCCCAGCAGCCCCCGGATGCTCTGAAGTCATTATATGGTCTGGTACGCCTGGGTAGATCCTGGCTTCCAGACCTGTAGCTGGGCTCAAGAAGTGACCACCTACTCACCCATCTGTCCATGCACCAGGCTCTGAGCCATGGGTGGGATTCTCTCTTCTCTGGTTCCCTGGTAACTGGGGTGCCCGGCAGTGAGGTCCCTGCCTCAGCTGGAGTGACACTAGGTCTTTCTCCACACTGGGTCTCCAAGATGCACAGAGGTGCACTGCCCAATGGGGGTCAAGACAGGCTGCTCAGCTCGGAGAAGAGGAGGTTTGGGGATGGCCCCAGGTCCCTTTTGGGCCTCCTTGGAAGGATGTATATTGCGGGGAAAGCACAGCTCAGGGTAGGGAGTGCTTTCTCCCAGCAAAGCTATGGAGCTGGAATGAGCTGCCAGGGAGGAGTGAGCTCCCTATCACAGGAGGTGAGCAAGTGAGGCCAGATACCCACCCAGCACAGTCATAGACTGAGGGGTAAGGCATTCTGGTGATGCATCCATGTGGGCTCAGGTGGTTAGTTTCTTGACGGGGAACATTAAGGGTGAGGCTGAGGAGCCACCTCACCAGACAGCCTCCTGCCACTGGATGCCACTTGGGGATGTAGCTCAGCCCCTTCCCTTCTCCAGGATTCTGGGTGGGGCTTGCTAAGTGGGTATCCTCCCTTAGGAGACTATAAGCTGGGCACCTGGAATCCCAGGCCATGCCAGCTCTGATTCTGCAAGTAAGTGGTTCTTCCATTTCAGCATCTGGTCTGAGGCCTCTGTGATTTGAGGCTGGGCTCTCGGCCCACTGGGTCAGCTCAGTGTCAGGTTTTGGGCTCTCAGCCCCTCCTGGTGGACCCACTTGAGTACCCCCCTCTCAGGCTGGGCTCCCCTGTGGGAGAAGGAGTCATTTCGGAACAAAAGACCCAGGAGTTTCCATTCACTTGCCGTTTCAGTGAAGGTGGAAAACCACGGAAATAAGATGTGTAAGCTGATACAGCTCCTCTCCAATGTACAGATCGGTGAAGGAGGAGAAAGAGGGGGAGAGAAGCACAGAGATGGAGAGAGAGACAGGCAGGCTGGGAAGATGGGCCATCCTCTCCCATGACAGTGTCCAAAGGGGTCATGACAGCAAGTTTATTCCCACTTGAAATATGGAAGCACCAGCATCCCTTAAAATCACTTTCCACAGATCAGGAACCCTTTTGTCTTTGAGAAGGGCACAGGTGGAGGTGGGCAGACAGGATTCAGCCAGGTGTAGGGATTTGCTTTGCCCTGACCTGCTGTTAATGGGGACTCAGGAATGCAGGGGGCAATGGGGTCCCATAGAGGACCCCAAAATACATTTCTACTCAAGAGACAGGACAGGAAGTCAAGGATCCTGTTCTTTTTACCCTGGGTCTCTGCTCGGTTGTTCTTGACCCCCTCTGGGTCTGACCCCCTTGGGACCGTCAGGGGTGGACAGTCTCTGAGCAGGTGTGTGTCTCCCTGTTGTGGCCAGAACCATCTCTGCCCGCTGAGGCCCACCCTCTCCCTGAGGGCCTTTTTCCCTCCCCTCTTTTCTCCACTCCCATGCCCTGCTCCTCCACAGCCTCCCCCAGAGAGCCCTTTGTGCCATGGCTGGACAGCCCAGAGCCTCTGCTGTCATGGACTCCTGTGTAAACATGTGCTGCAGAGTGAACGGGCACTGCCTACCCATCCCGGGAACCAAGCAGAAGCCAAGAGCCCTCAGCTCGGAGGTGGGGACAGCACAGCAGAGACATGGTGCCAGCCTCAGCTGTGTGACCTTAGGCAAATGGCCCAGCCTCTCTGGGCTTCTGTCATGTGACAGGGCTGGACAGGACTTCCAGGGCCTCTCTGCTTGGGAAAGCTACATTGGAATGTGGGTGAGGAAAGATGCATTCCTGACCCTGACCAGCGCCCCCCCTCCTCTGGCTGAGGCCTCTGCCATTCCCCCAGATGTATGCAACCAGGCCCAGCAGGGGACCCAAGTCATGCGGGCCTTCTCATATGCAATATTTCTTCTGGCTTCTCATGGGGATTGTTCATCCCAGACTTGACATTTCCTAACAGCAGTCCCCAGTGAGCATCCTGCCTGCCTATGCATTTTGGGTATAGCCCCTGCGACGTGTCCCTTCTACCCCCTAAAAGCTGTATTTTTCTGTGGCTGAGATTAGAGCATATTCCTTGTAAAGTATTTTTCTACATGGGGTTTTCTTAGGACTCTTGGGAAGGACAGTATGCCAAGGGGGCTGCACTGCAAAGGCCTGGGGTCTGTGGGGCCCACGTGTAAACCTGTTCCACCAGGAGCTGCAGTGACTTGGGAATTGGGGGTGGGGTGCTGTTGAGATGGGTTTTTTAAAATAAAATTATTTAAATGCACCAGGAGTAAGGTGTCTCCCTTTTTTTTAATCCTAGGCTGGCAAGTCAGCTTCTGTTTGGATAGCATGACATCTCACCTGCTTNGCTGTTCATTAAAAACTACAATATTTCATTTGAATATCCAGATTTTTAACTGCTCTTTAAAAATTTCAAGCTGGGGCAACCCCCAGGCCCACATCCTGCTTGGTAACAACTGGGGAGGGGGGCCTGTGGGGGAACACTGAGTACACCACTGCTGTCCACACATTTCCATCTCCTCCACCTCACTGCCAGCCCCGCTGCAGTGGTTTCCCTCATCTGGGTGGCCTGCCTGGCCCTGGAGCAGTGGAACTGGAGCCCCCAGATAAAGGACCAGGGGTGAAACGTGCCCCCCTTTGCTTCTCTGTACATCTGTACAATGGGGTGCGCACCCAGAAGGCAGGACAAGAGGCAAATGCCACCAGGCAGCCCCCAGGGCTCCATTTACGTGGGAGGTGTGGACACAGCTGGGATCCCCCCAGGACAGAGCTGTGGGTTTGCAGAGTCTGACTGAATTAAGTTCATGGCTGGGAGGTCACCTTGGCAACCTGTGCAGATGGGAGGTCAAGGGGCACAGAGCACAGACAGACTGATGGTGGCTCTACTGCCTTCAGGGGAAGGGGCTTTGGTTAATGGTCAGGTTTGTGGGTGAGGACAGGGTGCGAGTTTAGGTGGAGTTGATTCCTTACCCACGTCCACACCAGCCCCACTCTGAGCAAACCTCTAGACTGGGTGGAACGGTATTTAAAATTGGGCTTTGAAGGGATAGAAGTTAGTGACTTGCTGGGCGTGTTCCCCTCTGGCTCGACCACCCCCCCAACCATGGCTGGGATATGTGATTACCACAGGCAAGGACACATCAGAACAGACATCCAAGAACCTCTGCTGTGTCCCCCAATTAACCTTTAGTTTCTGGGTGGTAGGGACATTCTAGAATCCCCAGGGAGGGGCTGAGTTGGTGTTGGGTATTTAGATGGCACCTAGAAAGCTCAGGGCAGTAGCTGCCACCTGTCTGTCCCCAGGCCCCCCCCCACACACAGTATTGTACAAATGTTAGGGCCAATCAGTGTTCTGGTTGAATCCTGGGGTCCTTCCCTGTGTCCTCTGAGAAGACACAGTGGGTGCCATGCTGCAGACACCCCAGGGGCCTTTCTGGCTCAGACAGACCCTGGCTTCATGTCCTCCCTGGCACACCCCTGCCTACTTTCTCTGTTTTGAGAAGGCTGGTCCCTGTCAGCCCCGCCTCCCTTCTCCCCGACCAGTAACACCTCCAGGCCATTCCCCTGCCCACAAGGAAACCAGCCCAGCCCAAAGGGGAGCCAGGGCCCCAGGACATCCTGGCTCCAGATTTTTAAAAGAGAATAACAATAAAAACAGCTCAGAACAAAACAGTACAGTCTTGGAGCTGGCCACAGCCCAAAGGTTAAGGCAGATTCTAAGAAAAGGATTTCTTGGAAAGAGCCCTGGCTTTTGCCACAGCCTGGGATCTCCAGTATTGGAGGCATTTTGGGAAGGCTGGCAGCGGGAGGGGTCACGGGAGAGGAGACTGGCAGGCACAGAGGCCTGGAGGCCGGAGGCTCTGCCGTGGGCAAAGGTGGCTTCTGAGGGTCAGGCAGCAGACGGAGGCACAGATCCGGGCAGGGGAACCCGAGCCTGAGCTGGGCTTATCTGAAACTTGGCTCCAGGGTAAAGGAAGGTCTCTGGGTGGAGCTCAGGCTTCCTCCCCAGCTCCTTGTCTCCAGCCTCACTGGCTTCAGAAGCGAGGGTTGCTATGCCCAGGAGAAAGCCCCAGCTCTCAGCCTGGCATCCCCAGCCATCACCTTTCCCCCTCCTCCCCCACCCCCACCGCTGCCCAAGTGCAGCCACACCCTTTGCCTATGAAGACACTGTTTCCCATGCCCTTCCAACTTCCCTTCTCCACTTGGCAAATTCCTTCTCCTGCCCACAGCCTGCTCTGAGTGCCACAAGCCTTCTCCCATGTGAACTGTTCTTTGTTCTAGTTCTGCCATGACGTGTCCCCTGCCTACCACCTCAGCCACTCCAGGGGCAGGTGAGGCATCTGGTACTAAGACAGGGTAAGCAACATGCCCAAAGTCACACAGCGCATTGGCAGCCAGCTCAGCCTCCCACACCCAACCTCAGTCCAGCCCTGGGGAACCGCATGCTCACCACAAGGAACGGCCCTTCTGTCTGGCAGAGGCGGATGACCATGACTAGGGGGACACACACCATGGAGGACAGAGCCAGGCTCCAGCCCAGCCCGATGGCCCAGGTGGGGTACACGTAGACTTTGTTGTAGGTCAGGGGTATGTACTTGACGAGAGAAAAGATAAAACATCCCTGTGGAGAGATGAAACAGTCAGGGGGGTCCTGGGCACTGGGTGCATGGGACTTCCAGGACCAGGACAGGCCCCACTCCAGGGGTCTCAAGCATTCCCTACTCTGTAGCATGAGGACCTCCCCCAGGGCAAATCTCACCAAGTCACTTGCCTGCTCAAAACCCTTCGGTGGCTCCCCAGTGCCTTCAGGCTGCCTTGCAGACTCCTCAGCCTGGCCAGGAGCCATGCCCTGCCCCCCCTCATCCAGCCCCCGACGCCTTCCTCCCCACCTGCAGCCCAGCTATCTGGAACTCCTGCGGAACCTCCTCGGCTACCTGCCCCAGGGCCTAGTGCGGGCTGTTCTCCCTGACTGCGCCTCTCACCCCTCAGTCTCCTCACCCTGATTTAGCTCTTGATGGCCCCTCCTTGCCTGGCCAGGTGCCACCCAGATGCAGTCAGGTGCCCATGCTTTTCCTTCCCTGAAAGCGTGTGGTTCTTCAGCTTGCAGCTCCCCTACCCGGCCTGCGTGAGGGTTGTGTCTGTCCTGTTACCCCATTTCTCTAATACCTGGTGGGCAGTTCCAGCTGCACACAGCAGGTGCACAATAAATGCCAGCTCCATGGCTGAAAGCCTTTCCTCCCTTCCCCCACTGCCAGCCACCCATCTCCAATCCTGAGCCCTGGGGCCAGTCCGAGTCTAGGCCTTGCCTTATTGGGTGTCCAGGCCCAAGGCCATGCCAACAGCTGGTGGCCATCAGCATCCATGAATGGTATGGTGGGGTGAGCTCTGAGCCCCAAAGCCTTTGAAACCCCATTTTCCTGAGAAGAGCCCCTAAAGCTGGCTGGGGGGGGACCCAGGGTTTCTGTTTTGGTCAGAATGACATCATCTCAGGGCATAACCCCATACTGGCTTGGGTTGGCCCACAATGTATCTGGCTCGACCACCCCCCCAACCATGGCTGGGATATGTGATTACCACAGGCAAGGACACATCAGAACAGACATCCAAGAACCTCTGCTGTGTCCCCCAATTAACCTTTAGTTTCTGGGTGGTAGGGACATTCTAGAATCCCCAGGGAGGGGCTGAGTTGGTGTTGGGTATTTAGATGGCACCTAGAAAGCTCAGGGCAGTAGCTGCCACCTGTCTGTCCCCAGGCCCCCCCCCACACACAGTATTGTACAAATGTTAGGGCCAATCAGTGTTCTGGTTGAATCCTGGGGTCCTTCCCTGTGTCCTCTGAGAAGACACAGTGGGTGCCATGCTGCAGACACCCCAGGGGCCTTTCTGGCTCAGACAGACCCTGGCTTCATGTCCTCCCTGGCACACCCCTGCCTACTTTCTCTGTTTTGAGAAGGCTGGTCCCTGTCAGCCCCGCCTCCCTTCTCCCCGACCAGTAACACCTCCAGGCCATTTCCCCTGCCCACAAGGAAACCAGCCCAGCCCAAAGGGGAGCCAGGGCCCCAGGACATCCTGGCTCCAGATTTTTAAAAGAGAATAACAATAAAAACAGCTCAGAACAAAACAGTACAGTCTTGGAGCTGGCCACAGCCCAAAGGTTAAGGCAGATTCTAAGAAAAGGATTTCTTGGAAAGAGCCCTGGCTTTTGCCACAGCCTGGGATCTCCAGTATTGGAGGCATTTTGGGAAGGCTGGCAGCGGGAGGGGTCACGGGAGAGGAGACTGGCAGGCACAGAGGCCTGGAGGCCGGAGGCTCTGCCGTGGGCAAAGGTGGCTTCTGAGGGTCAGGCAGCAGACGGAGGCACAGATCCGGGCAGGGGAACCCGAGCCTGAGCTGGGCTTATCTGAAACTTGGCTCCAGGGTAAAGGAAGGTCTCTGGGTGGAGCTCAGGCTTCCTCCCCAGCTCCTTGTCTCCAGCCTCACTGGCTTCAGAAGCGAGGGTTGCTATGCCCAGGAGAAAGCCCCAGCTCTCAGCCTGGCATCCCCAGCCATCACCTTTCCCCCTCCTCCCCCACCCCCACCGCTGCCCAAGTGCAGCCACACCCTTTGCCTATGAAGACACTGTTTCCCATGCCCTTCCAACTTCCCTTCTCCACTTGGCAAATTCCTTCTCCTGCCCACAGCCTGCTCTGAGTGCCACAAGCCTTCTCCCATGTGAACTGTTCTTTGTTCTAGTTCTGCCATGATGTGTCCCCTGCCTACCACCTCAGCCACTCCAGGGGCAGGTGAGGCATCTGGTACTAAGACAGGGTAAGCAACATGCCCAAAGTCACACAGCGCATTGGCAGCCAGCTCAGCCTCCCACACCCAACCTCAGTCCAGCCCTGGGGAACCGCATGCTCACCACAAGGAACGGCCCTTCTGTCTGGCAGAGGCGGATGACCATGACTAGGGGGACACACACCATGGAGGACAGAGCCAGGCTCCAGCCCAGCCCGATGGCCCAGGTGGGGTACACGTAGACTTTGTTGTAGGTCAGGGGTATGTACTTGACGAGAGAAAAGATAAAACATCCCTGTGGAGAGATGAAACAGTCAGGGGGGTCCTGGGCACTGGGTGCATGGGACTTCCAGGACCAGGACAGGCCCCACTCCAGGGGTCTCAAGCATTCCCTACTCTGTAGCATGAGGACCTCCCCCAGGGCAAATCTCACCAAGTCACTTGCCTGCTCAAAACCCTTCGGTGGCTCCCCAGTGCCTTCAGGCTGCCTTGCAGACTCCTCAGCCTGGCCAGGAGCCATGCCCTGCCCCCCCTCATCCAGCCCCCGACGCCTTCCTCCCCACCTGCAGCCCAGCTATCTGGAACTCCTGCGGAACCTCCTCGGCTACCTGCCCCAGGGCCTAGTGCGGGCTGTTCTCCCTGACTGCGCCTCTCACCCCTCAGTCTCCTCACCCTGATTTAGCTCTTGATGGCCCCTCCTTGCCTGGCCAGGTGCCACCCAGATGCAGTCAGGTGCCCATGCTTTTCCTTCCCCGAAAGCGTGTGGTTCTTCAGCTTGCAGCTCCCCTACCCGGCCTGCGTGAGGGTTGTGTCTGTCCTGTTACCCCATTTCTCTAATACCTGGTGGGCAGTTCCAGCTGCACACAGCAGGTGCACAATAAATGCCAGCTCCATGGCTGAAAGCCTTTCCTCCCTTCCCCCACTGCCAGCCACCCATCTCCAATCCTGAGCCCTGGGGCCAGTCCGAGTCTAGGCCTTGCCTTATTGGGTGTCCAGGCCCAAGGCCATGCCAACAGCTGGTGGCCATCAGCATCCATGAATGGTATGGTGGGGTGAGCTCTGAGCCCCAAAGCCTTTGAAACCCCATTTTCCTGAGAAGAGCCCCTAAAGCTGGCTGGGGGGGGACCCAGGGTTTCTGTTTTGGTCAGAATGACATCATCTCAGGGCATAACCCCATACTGGCTTGGGTTGGCCCACAATGTGAAAATGACTTAAATCTTTATTATCTAATAACTGGGGTTTGACAGGAAGACAGATCTAAGTCAGGGGTATGTACTTGACGAGAGAAAGTACTGGTGGTGGTGGGGAGAGCACCAGGCTGCAGATATCTTCCATGGGGCATCTACTGTATGTCTGGCCCTGGTGTGGGGTGTGGCTTAGATGTGGGAGCCTCAGGAGAGGGCTGCTCTGGGCTCTCCCAGAGCAGAGAAGCTTTGTACCTGCCCATTTCCCACTGGGGTGACTTCATCCTAGCACCTTGGAATGCAGCCTGTCTCTGATCTCTCCAACTCCTCAGGGAGGGAAAGAGGAAGAGACTGACAGTCAGAGTGGGTAAAGGAGTTACCCACAAACAAATGTCAAATGAGGGTAAGGACACGGGCCCTGAACTATTCATCTCCAACAATAAACTGGCCATGTGGTTACTGCTGGTGCAGTTTCCTTGATTTGTGGGGACAATGTGCACCTCAGATGAAAAGGCCAAAACCGTGTTAAGTAATAACACTAACAGCCGAGGTTGTCTGCAGCCACTCAAGCCCCATTGCAGAGTCACCTTCAATTTTACGAATGCGGCAACCAAGGCCCAAGAAGAAAGGGATTTAAGGTCACACAGTGAGTTAATGGCAATAACTGGCCGGGGAGCAGAGGTCACTGAGGGGAGAGCCCATTCATCCTTCAGCACCTGGTTTCCAAGGCAAAGTGCACCTCTTCCACCTGCGCTCCCCACGGCACGAGCCAAGAATGGCATGGCATTTGTCTTCCCTGCCATTAGCTCCAAGGCTCGTGACTGGTTCTGAACCCTGACAGGGAAGCAGCTTTGATGGCAGACGACTTCCCTTTGGCCGGGAACTCTGAGCAGAACCTCGAAACAGGGTGCCTGGGCATGCTCCACGGCCACATTCCAGGACGGCAAGCAAGGGGATCTTGGTGGGGAGGTGCACGCGGCCCATCACTGATCCTGGGCCCTGGGTGGGCACAAAGCTTCCTTGCTCTTGGATAGCCTGGAGCATCTCTTTGTTGGGACCCTCCCTCTCCAGCCAATCCCACCCTGCCATGGAAACATCCCATTTCTGTGTCTACGTCATCCCCATCTCACATCCCAAAGGCCCTCGGCTTGGTCAGTAACTCAAACTCATGAGTTCTGGAAGAGTTTGGGGAAAGTTTATGTGCTCTCTCATGGAACCCCTGCATTTCCCAGCATGCCCCAGTACGCCTTCCTCTTCCAGAATGCCTTGCCTGTGCATAGACTGGCTCCTCTGCCAGGAATGCCTGTCCTGTTTCTCCTCCTAACAAGATCCTACTCAGCCTTCAAAACCCATCTTAAGGTAACCTTCTGGAGCAGTCTGCTCCCTCTCTTCCAGGCACAGCCATCACTGGGCTTCTCACAGGCCAGCACTTAGCAGATGCTGAGTGAAAGAGGGGTTAGCAGGTGAAAGTATCAAGCCACATGGTGAAAAGGCAACTACCCACAGCCACGCAGGAGAGAACTCACAACACAGAGAACTGGAGTGACCACGGCCCAGCTGTACTTCATCCAGGGCCCAGGCCGATAGCCGATCATGTCCTCAATGCCATCATAAAAGTTATCACTGCCTGCAAGAGACAGAGGTAGGTGGACGGTGACACCGTGTCCAATGCCAGCATCTGCCCTGGGAACTGCACAGGATGCTCGAGGGCCATGAGATCCAGGTCCCTGCATCTTTGTAATACCTGGACCCAGGTGTGGCAGATGTTTATCTGAAATTATCTGAAATTCAAATGTAGCTGGGTGTCCTGTCTTCTGGCAACCTTAGGCAGACCCCAAATGCTGCTGCAGCCAATCCAAGATGTTAAGGAGGTCAAAATGGACCATTCCTGGACTCCAGAGTAATTCAGTCATAGACAGACCCTAGCATAGCCAAGTTCTGTGTTTGTCAAAACATAGTCACACCCTGCACCTTTAGCACAGACAGGGAGAATCTGCAGTGCAGCTACAACATTATTTCTGTAGGGAAGGCCTTTGTGTTCAACTCAATGGATTCCCCTTAAACTGCCCTGTCTCTGAAACTTCTAAACACAGAGGCCAAAAGGAGAGACTTAAGAAAGGACATGCCAAAATCTGTACTCACCATATATCCAGGCAATAACAAAACATTCAAAGAATGCAACCCACAAAAGGCATACACCACTAGCTGCATAGTAGTCAAAGAGTTGAAACACATACATGCCACCCTGTGAAGAAAAAAACCAAATGGTTGGTTTGTTATATGGTATCTAATTTCCTTAATATATAAAGAGCTCTGGCATATCAATAATATAAAACACAAAATAATGAGGAGAGTTTCTGACAACCTGATACATGTATAAAATGATATCAAGTTCCTGTTCGACAAATTTAATTAAAACAAACACACACACACACACACACACACAGAAAAATTAAAGTGAAACAACATTATCTTCCTTAGTAAAAAATGATGGGTTCCCTGAGGACTGCTTCCAAAGGAGATACTTAAAACCAGCTGTGGCCAACATAGAAGACTTCAGTGATATCCAGCTGCTCAGCATGTGGACCTATGATTTGCATTTGGGGTGGGGAAGGTAGCTTACAAACACTTCCAGAAGAGCATTTATTTTTACTTTAGTAAGAAAAGGTGGTGATGTGAAACTCAGAGTATGGGAGCAAATGCAACCCTTTGCTGGAGAATGTGGGGAGGGTGTGAAAGAGAGAGCATGCCTAGGCCTGTGTTAGGTTTATATGCTCACGGTCTAGTTAAGGAACTTTTTTCTGACCTGTCTCTTGCTGGACATGCTGATCCACTGCTGCCTTATACACTCTTGCTATCTCCCTCTCTTTGCTTCTTCTCTCCATTTTAGATGCATCCTCCTATGGCTTCTGTACACCCTCTGAACAGTGCACACTCCTTGTCAACCAGACAGGCCTCGGCACTGCCTGCAGTGTTTACCAGGAGGCCTGTGGGTATCCTTGCGAAGGTCCCCACCTCCCCTTCAGGCCTGAGAAGGGCAACTGCGCACAGCTGTGGCTGAGTAGAGTTGTTAAAATGGACTTCAGCTGAAGCCCCTTTTCCCCAGGCCTGCTGGAAATGAGGGAGGGGCAGGGAGGGTGGCTGCCCATATCTCCATGGTACCAGGAAAAAGGAGTGGGGAGCTCAGGTTAACTGTTGGGTCCTGAGTGGCCTCCTGCTGTCCCCAGCATAGGCCAAGGGCGTGCCTTGGGTGGGGAAGGACCCCTGGACTGGGCAGGGCCAGGTGATCACCCACCCAGCTGCTGCCTCCACTGGTGGGGAAGTGGGGAGGTGGTGTGGCCTTGAACTGATCTTTGATGACTATTTAGGGCACTAAGGGCCCTGCAAGCATAAGTCTGTCATGCTAGGCAAGAGAGCCACCTACCTCCGTCACCATCGTCAGCCCCAGCAGGTAGCTGATGCTACACATGAAGGCGATGAAGATTTCCCGACGGAAACCCTTCCTTAGGAAGGACGGGTAGAGGTCAACCAAGGACGTGATCTGTCCTTCAACTTCAACAAACTGGGAAGGGAAAGAAAGTAGTTGAAAGCCAGATGCCCAGCACCTCCCCTCTGCTTAGAGAGGAGACCCTAGCACACCTGCTGGGGCTGGTCTTGTGGTTCTACGCTAAGTCCTGCCTACTGGTCATGGCATTGGTGGTCCACGCATTTCTCCAAAAATTCCACACCTCTGCATCTCTGCTGAGGTGATCATTGTGTTTCCCTCATTGTTCAAGACTGAAGACTGACTGCTTTCGAGAAGCCAATGCTGGCCCTCTGCCCTGGTGTGCTTGCTGGCCTGTGTGCTCTGACACGACGGCTCCCCTGCTTTGGTCTTTGTTCTCTCTGTGGCCAAGGGTAGTGTCCCCTCATTCTGGGCCTCGAGCACCTAGCCAGGCCAGTCACATGAGGCTGCTCAGCAGACATGTGATAAAAGGGTGGGTAATCCAGGGCAAGCCTGGGCCTGTTTTTAACCCTTAGGGGACTGTGGGTCCACGAGAGAATTTTGAATGTGTGCATGCACACCCACACAGACCCCTGAGACATGGTGCCTCCACTCCCCAGGTTCAAATCCCACCCATGCCCCTTACTGCCCTCATGCCTGCATGTGTGAGCCAAGTGCGGCCACTGACTCCAGGGCTCCTGGGTTCTGGGAACACATCTCTGGGCCCCCAAAGGTGAAGCAGCTGATTTGAAAAGGCCCTTCCAAAGGTTATGTTCTAGAATCACTCTCCATCTTTCTAATCTTCCCATCTTTGCACCTAACAACTGATCTTGGAGACTGTCCCATCTCACTACATGGAAGGCTGCCTTGCTTAAGCAGTGGCATAAACATCTAAGCAGTGCCCTGTGGGTGGTGTCCACCTTCTGAGGCTACTGATCTAGGCAAGGACTCTTCTACACCTGTCTTCTGGGCACCTGTGTCTGTAGCACAAACTAGAAGTGAAACTTCAGGGTTAAGGGGCACGTGAGGCATTTTACATTTGGGTGGCAACAGTCAACTTGCTCTGCTAACCAGCATGGCCTCCGAGGCCAATGAGCTCTCTCACCTGGGAAAGGCGACTGGGGAGGACATTTCCCCAGCATTCCTACCAGACAAACCCCACTGCTGTCTCCTCTGGGATGCATCACAGGAGGATCAAGGAATACAAACAAGGAGCAAACCACTTTCATGTGCTGAACGCAGCAGAGAAATGACTCTGTTGCCAGGAATTCAGGGAAAGAATGACCCAGAGGCTCTTGAAACTGACCCAAAGAGAAGGGGCTGCTGTTTTGTCCTTTGCTTATGTATCAGCCAAAGGGGTTTTGATCCTAAACTGCTACTGAGTTATAGCAAACCTGTGGCTCAAAGCATTATGCTTCAAAAGGAATTACAAAGGTTCTTTCCCTTCTTGAGATGGGGAAATTAAGGACAGGACGAGCCAGTGTCATGGTACGTCAGGGCCAAGACCAGCACAAGCCCCTTGTTTCCAAGTCCCCTGCATTTCTGGAGAACACCACCCCTATCCCCACCCTCATGCCACCAGTCTCTTTAGACCCTCCTACTTAATAGCCATGTGACCCATGGCTTTCCCAAGCCTGTTTCCTCCCCTGTAAAATGCCTACTCAGCAGGGATTTTGAAAAAGATTTCAATTGAGAGTATATTGGCAATTGGGTCACTACTAGTAGGCCAGGTCAGGGCACTGGGGCGGGAGAACGGCTGGGCTGGGGGAGTGCATGTGTGCTCCGGGGCTCTCTGAGCTGTTGGTCCCTCGGACAGGCCAGATACTGACAGGCACCTGCCTCCATGTGGGTGACATCCCTACTCCATCTCACCAAGAGGTACACCGTGGTACAGTGTCTCCTAAGCCAGGGAGAGTGCTCCCTGAAATGCCAGGAGCCCTGGGGAGCACGTCCTCCACAGGGCAAGGCTCTCACTCCAAGGTGACAGGCCTCCACCTGAGGCTGGCTGGGGGGTCTCTGGGGAATCCAAAGGTAAGGCGAGGAGTGCACGAACTAGCCTGTCTAGGAACAGGCAGCCCCAGGGCCTGGCTGTGGTGCGTATCCTTAGGCTGCTGTGTGTGGCCTTGGATGAGTTGTTGTTCTCTCTAAGCCTCAGTTTTTTTGGCTCTAGAAGGCAACAGTTGTACATTGGGACAGCTGCAGATTAAGGAGCTAACATATAAAAAAGCCAGGTTTGGGGGGCAGGGGAGTGGGAAGTTCGTGTTTGATGGGAACAGTTTCAGTTGGGGAAAATGCAAAAGTTCTGGAGCCGGAATCTGGGGAACAGCTGCACAACAAGTGTCTCCTAAGCCAGGGAGAGTGCTCCCTGAAATGCCAGGAGCCCTGGGGAGCACGTCCTCCACAGGGCAAGGCTCTCACTCCAAGGTGACAGGCCTCCACCTGAGGCTGGCTGGGGGGTCTCTGGGGAATCCAAAGGTAAGGCGAGGAGTGCACGAACTAGCCTGTCTAGGAACAGGCAGCCCCAGGGCCTGGCTGTGGTGCGTATCCTTAGGCTGCTGTGTGTGGCCTTGGATGAGTTGTTGTTCTCTCTAAGCCTCAGTTTTTTTGGCTCTAGAAGGCAACAGTTGTACATTGGGACAGCTGCAGATTAAGGAGCTAACATATAAAAAAGCCAGGTTTGGGGGGCAGGGGAGTGGGAAGTTCGTGTTTGATGGGAACAGTTTCAGTTGGGGAAAATGCAAAAGTTCTGGAGCCGGAATCTGGGGAACAGCTGCACAACAATGTGAATATACTTAACGCCACTGCACCCGATGCTTAAAAACCATCAGTTTTACATTGTATTTTGCCACATGCATGCACAGAAAACACCTGGCACAAAGCCTGGCCCACTCTGCATGACAGCTCTGTCACAGTGCTGGTGGCATGAGAGGCGGTCATCAGCATCTGCACAACCTCCCCCCATGTCCACAAGTTCACATACCAAATGGATGCTGAGGAGGGATGCCAACCCCGGTCATCAGACCCCTGAGACATGGTGCCTCCACTCCCCAGGTTCAAATCCCACCCATGCCCCTTACTGCCAGGTCAATCAGGCAGACCGCTGAAGGGCTCTGAGCCTTGAGTTCCATGCTCCGAAGCAGGAAGACTAGCGGCTCCGCTGAGGCTGCCTGAGAGAGCTCACCAAAATTCCCCAAGGGCGCCAGCCACCGTGGGGCCTGGCTCAGAGGTGCACATCCTCAGTCAGGTCCCACCTGCCTCCCAGGGCGAAAATCTAATGAATAACCACCTCCACTCTGCTCACTCAGGAAGCAGTTCTGACAGCCCAAGAGGCCTGTTTTAGGCCCACGGAGATGTCACGCTTTGTCATTTATTAACCTCCGTGGCTTGTTTTTTGCTTTCCCTTGGAGCTCTGGAAGAAGTTATAAAAGCTATTTGCCTGGGACCTCTGAAGGCCAAACTCATTAACTAGGAATGATTAATGGATCCTCTTGCTGTTTACACAGATCAGGCCCATCAACAACAGCACAAGTATTTTGTTTTCAGTCTCCCCAGTGTTTGCATTCTGTCTCCCCAGCTAATCCTGGTCCCCTTTCTGCCAAATCCTTCACTCTGTTCCTGACCTAGCTAGTGGACTGCACCGCCTCCTCTCCTCTGCCTGACCTTCCAAGGCTTTCCTCCTCCCTGCTTCTAAGTCCCCGGGGACCCGCCTGGGCTTTGAAGCTGCTGCCCACAGGGCAGGTGGCAGAGTGCTCTCCTGACCGGGCTGCAGGCTGCCACTTCTCCCAGGGCCACAGCTGACTAAAGACTTTCCATGAGGCAGTGGCAGACCCATGGGAGGCTGCAAAGCACCTGCCTTTCAGTGACTGACCTTAGATGGTGGCCCCTGGGCAGCACCACCTGCAGGGCTCTGGCCTGGGCACCCGACCAGCCTGCCCTGTGCACCCTGACTCCCCATTCCCGGAGTCACGCCTGTGCTCTGAACTCATCTCAAGAAGGCCCCAATGAAAATACACATATCTCCAGGAATAGGTACCCCAGGAGCTCATTCTAACCATCCCCCGCGCACCACTGACTATTCCCTGTCAGGCACAGGGCCTGGTGTTTCATGCAAGGCAACATAGGTAGAATCAGGCCCACTTGCCAGATGAAAAAACAAGCTCAGAAGTGGGTAAAACATGCCTAATGTTACACAACAACATAGCGGGGGCTTGGAACCATGTTACTTCAAAGCCAGACATGGCCTCTGGCTGGTTCTCACTGACATAGCTGGTGGAGGCCTGAGTCCTGCAGGGATGGGAGGTGGGGATTAGGAGGTGCAGGGAAACAACCCTGGGAAGTCCTGACCCTAGAGGGCAAAAGCCAGGATGGCCAGAGGACCAGGGCTTTGAGGAGGACTCCCCAGTGCTTAGCTGCTTCCGAGGCACTGGAGCACCGGGTTTCACTGTGCGTGCAGTCAAGCTTGCCTGCTCATGTGGCCTGGGAAACACAGACCACCAGGCGTGACTTAGGCTTCTCCGGCTGCGCCTAGGACCACCCGTGCTGGCCTGGGCACTGATGCTGGTCCCTTCCCCGAACCACCCAACTGTGCGTCATTCCTGTGCCCTGGCCCGATCCACCACAGGAGCCTGTTTCTGCTTGGGTTGGCCTCTAGTTCCCATCTGTGGCTTCATTTTACCCATACCCTACACATGTCCGTTTCCCCTTGCTGGAGTTAAAGACTTGAGCCGTGGGGCACATGTCCTCCTCTTCCTACCCTGAGGCCTTTTCCACTCCCGGGGTACCCAAGGAACCCTTGCTGGCTGAAAGGGGTGTGACCACCTCACACACACCAGAGGCTTTTCCAGAACCAGGTTGCCCACAGGCAGCCCCTCCCTCAGGTCATCTGCTCTGTCTGCACTTACCTGGCTATCCAGTCCAAGCAAGAGAAGCATAATAAAAAAAAGAATGGACCAAAACGTGGGCAGTGGCATCATCGTCACAGCTTTTGGGTAGGCAATGAAGGCCAGGCCAGGTCCTAAAGGGAAGAGAAAATGGGGGGGGCAGAAGGGGAGCCACATGAGTGGCCAAGCCATGCCCAGCACTGGATCTCATACAAAGACGCTTGGGTCTGAGGCGGGTCTCCCAAACCCAAACAGGGAGGGGCCAGCTCTGAATTCCTGCCTGGGGGAGGAGTCCAGGCCTGGCTCACTTAGGGCGGGGCTCACTGGGGCTAAGGCAGGGCCCCGTTTTAGCATCTGTCTCCTACGCAGCGCACAGCGGCCTCCTCACACACCAGGATCCGACGGACACTGGTTATGTAGGACAGGAAACGGGACTGAGCCTGGGACTCAGTCTGTCGGCTTGGAAGAGGGGCCCCCGCACCCCAACCACAACAACCACACCAACATTTGCCGGAAGAGAGCAAAGGGGGAACATTCTAGTTACCCGACTACTGAAGTCCCCATTTGCAAAGAAAAGGCTTCTACTTTTGAGTTAATGACTAAACCACCACAAGAGTAGAAGAAAAAAGAGCAGAGAACCTCTCTCCCCTGAGGTGCACCCGCACTCTGACCGCACTGTCAGAGCCCAGGCCTGGGAGACCCACAGCCCACATCCCACCGTCTCCTCCACATCAGCACATAGGCCTGTTTCTCAGGCCTGTTCCCCCACCCGAGAAGGGAGGGGCAGGTCACCATAAGTGACTCCCAAGGACCCTTCTTCATGTTCAGATTCTCAGATGCTGACACCATCTGCCTAGAAAAGGTTTCTGGTTTCTAAAGAGTGGTCTCTGACAGAATCCAGAGGCAGGAGCCCCATCAGCTCAGGGGGTGCCTTTCTGACTGGAAACATTTCAGAGAAATAGAGAAATGTTGTCCTGCCTCCAGCTGGCCTGAGAGAAGCGCCAGGGTGAAGACCTCAGTTGTTCCCGAGACCTGAGGGTCCAGGGGGTAGTTGAAGCAACCCAAGAAAAGGGCCTGAAGGGCTGGGCTACAAAAATAAAACCCCACTTAAAAAAAAAAAGATCAAGAAAGGTAAACCAAAAGGGACTGGAGGGCGATATATTTAAAGCAGATACCAGAAATCAAACGAGTGGCTTAAGAACAGCGGCAGCAAAAACTTCGAAATAAATTGGAGCCAGAAATTACACCGTCCAGTGTTCACCATAAACGCGACGGCAAGGGCAGGCCCTTCAGCGGTCCAGTCCGCCCGACTGAGGACCACCTGGCCATGTCCCGGTGTCCCAGGGGGCAGCAGCAGAAAACCTCGTGAGGGATGGCGGAAGGGATGCTCAGCCCATCCCCAGGAGTCCAAATTGGAAGAGGAAGCTGTGCTTCCACCCGGGTCCTCCCTGCATGATTTGGCCCTGACTGGTGAATGTCACTGCATGCGGAATCAAGTCCAGCCGACTGCAAGACAGATGTAAAATGGGGCCCCTGCCCCCTATCCCCCACCCGCCGGGTTCTGTGAAGTTCTCAACGCACTCGTTTCTGTATTTCAGTTTTGCCTTTTACAAGCCAGCCTCTGGGAGAGGGTCTGAGCGCCTTCCTCTAAAAACGCACAGTGAACTACAGAGAGAGAAGTCCGTGAGAAATAACCAGCTGCTCCGAGCACCTATGCCTGCCTCTCCGTGAGCAGAGATCACACCACTCTAGTTTCGTTTGCACTCCGTTCAGCTATATCATTATCTTGTTCAAATGCACTTCGCTCAATATGGTGCTTGTTAAAAGCGTATTAGAGAAATAATCACCCTTGGGGGTGTTTGCTGTTCAGACATCATCATGGGGAGTAAATGACAAGGTCTTTGAAGTGGACAAGAGGAAAGCAACTTAGGCTGACGATCTAGGTGTCCACACAGAAAGATCTCTTTTATGTATTGATACATATCTCTCACCAAGAAATTCACCCCATGCTCCTGGAGATTCCCAATCAATCAGAATTGGTTGCAAGCCCTCAACTGAAAAAAAAACCACCTGCAAACTGAGGTGTAGAATGTCTCCCCTTCATCACTCTAACGGCCGAACTGCCAAGAAGGCGTGGGTATTTCTGGAATTACTTTGTGTCCTCAGTCTCTGGCCTGCCTTTTGGGTGCTCTCAGGGAAGGCCACCTCCGCCTGAAGGTCTCACTTGGGATTGGGGCAGTGGAGAGATGTGTGGGGCTGAGGCTGGACTGGCTAAGCTTGTCCTGCAGTGTTGGGGGTATCAGAGCAGCGAGCATCTTTGCCAGGCGAGGAGGGTAGGGGGCTGAGGTCAGAGGAGGCCAGATGCACTCTTACACAGAAAGGGCCAAAGGTTGTCACGTGTGTCCAGGGTGGGGTGGGGGGTGGCAGGAAGGGGGACGCCCTCATTTTAGAGGGGCCTGTCCAGCACATGGTGGGCACCCTGTCCAGGCAACCACAGCTCTAACCCTGACCAGCCTGGGGAAGGCCTTGCTCTCCAGCCCTCGTCTGTGGAGCAGACATCTGAATGCACAGTGCTGAGGTCCCTTGACTCCCATGCTACGGTTCTGTGGGTGGGGAGCCAGGACACTGCCCTGTTTCCAACAAGGGACAAGGGCACAAGCATGGCTGGGACTCCAGCTGTTCCTGACCCTGGTCTGTGGTGGTCCCTGGAGTTAGGACCTTACATTTTCTGGACTGAGACACCTTACATTCTCTGCCAATGACCCTTACCTGCCTCCAAGTGGCACCAGAGAGGTTGTGAGAAATCAGGTCAGGTGGAGTGGAGGGTGGTGCAAAAACTAACAAAACCTTCCAGGTAAATGACGACCACAACCACCCTCCAGGGGAATTGGGCAGGTTGTAGAAGTATGGAGAAGCCATAACAGTGGACTTCGAAGAGCCTGGGAGCCTAAGGTCCTCATTCCCACATCTAAGCCACTGCAGTTTTAAATCTGCAGGTCCAGGACTGAGGGCATCCATGGGCATGTCCTAGAATTTAGGCACTTGAGATACTATGGTTCTGAGGCTTTATGAATCCAGCAACTGAAGACCTCATAATTCTGTTTCCAGAACCATACTGGTAGAGCTCCAGCGTCCCAGTCTAAGATCCCAGGCTTTGCAGAGCTTATGATTTTAGGACCTTTTTCTCTATTTAGGGGTCCTTGGAAGCAGCAGCCCACAAACAGAGCCCACACCCTGAGGGCATGGTAGATGCCCCCCAAACCCACCCCCAACAGGATCTGTCCCCATCCCAGAAGGCGGCCTGCCACGCCCACTCGGTCTCCCCACCCCAGTGCCTACGGTGGTGCCTGACACGGGGCAGAGCCGCCATCAATAAACACTGGTGAAACAAATGAATGGGTTTGCTTAGAGGGAACACGCTGGGAGCAAAGTGCAAAATACAGAAACCAAAGCTGAGAAGGTGGTGATGGAATGCCGACTGGTGGCTGACTTGAGCCTGAGTTAGTAAGTGGTTTCTGTTGCTGAAACCAGGAGTTTGCTGGGGATGGAGGGCGAGGGACAACAACCACATGAAGGTAGCTAAATATTCCCCCAACCTAACCAACCCCCATGTTTTGGCTGTCCCTGGGGCCAAATTGCAATGAATGTATTTAAAATTTAGCTGTTGTATTCTTTGATACCTGGGAGACATCTTGATGGGGGGGGTTCATTTTTGAAACCAGGCTCGTCCCCCCCCAAAAACCCCCTGGGGTCTGGCTTCATGCCTGCAGTACTCATCTTGCACACTAGGTGGCAGTGCCCACCACCACTGCCACCAATACCACCATACCTGACTCAGCCACATCAGCAATGTCCACCCCTTGCTCTTGTGCCATGAAGCCCAGGATGGAAAAAATTGCGAAGCCAGACACAAAACTGGTACCACTGTTCAGGCATCCCAGCAGCATACAGTCCCTAAGTTACACATATGTCAGGGAGCAAGTTAATTCACAACACAAGGAAGCCACGCTCCCTACTCTTCTCTTTTTTCTTTAAACATCATCATCATTTCTAAGGTCCGCCAGGCCCACTGGCCCAACACTTGCCTGTAGGAATTGTACTTGTACTTGTTGTAGCTCCCCAGCGAGGTCATGGCCCCCAGACAGATGGCATAGGAGAAGAATATCTGGGTCCCAGCATCGATCCACACCTATGGGGGTACCAGGGGAGTGGGTGGCAAGGAAAGAGAGAGGAGGGCCATTAGAGTGGGCTTCCTGGAGGAGGCAGCACCAGTTCCGGGCCGCCAGGTGCCAGAGGACTGCACCTTGAAAACTGCAGTCTCAGCTGTGACTGGAGCACCTGTGCTGGAGTCCAAGGTGCCTTTTACGGCAACATGGTGCTACAAGGAACAAGAGAAGCTGAATACCCCCAGCCCAGTCACACTCGGCATCAGGACTGAGAGGCCAGCTTTAGTAGCAATGGTTGTGGACAAGTAAATATGACTCCCGGAGCCTCAGTTTCATATCTGTAAAATGGGGTCTGCTGCCCTGCCCCAGGTGTTTTTCACTGGTTCCAAGAGAAAAGGTTTAGCCCAGGGCCAGACACATGGCAAGCCTCTAAGTCAAGGCTGCTATGATTACTGTCATTGTTACTGAGTGGGGAACCCTGAGTCGGAGTGCAGAGGAATTCCTAATGGATGATGCAGGCCGAGCTGCTGTCCAGCACGGCCAGCAAGCAGCTCCTGACGGCCGCAGTGCTGCCTTCTCAGCTGCCCTCTGATGCTGGCCAAGCCTCCCCAACCTCCCTTGTCAGAGGTGAGGACAGAGGGGAGGAGACCCATGGCAGCACAGGTCCCTGGAGGCAACCCGAAGGCTGAGCATCCTGGGACATACATCCCTCAATGGGCCAGTAAGATTTCCCAGGCTTTTCTTCAACCCACTGCAGCCACATAGCTGAGTGCCAGGAGGCAGGCATTTAGTACTTGCCCCTCAACCTTCCAAGAGGTCACCAATCTTTAATTCCACCCTTGGCCAAAGAAGCCAGCAGCTCCTGCAGGCTGACTCTCCCACCCACATGGAGCAGCCCTCCGGCCACCGCCAAGAAGAGTAAGTAGCTCATAAAAAGACTTCTCTCCCTTACCTGGCACATTGCCTATAGAAGACTCTATAATCAGCCTGTCTCAGGAGTCCTTGACATGAAAAGATACTCAGCTGGAAAGGCCCACGGGCACCTTGAACAAGCCGCCACCACCCAGTGGAAAAGTACTAGGGGCTGATGGCCCATTAGAGTTGTGCAGTGAAGAGCCACGGAAACTGGGCTGCCTGCGCAGCTTCCCTACACCCTGCCTGCCTGGGTGGAGGGAGGGCAGGCTGTGCTGCAGTACCTGTGGGTCCTCGAGGCGGCTGATGTCAGGGTACAGGTAGAACTTGATGCCTGCGCCTGCACCGGGCAGCGTCAGTCCACGGACCAGAAGCACCAGAAGCATAGCAAATGGGAAAGTGGCTGTAAAGTAGACAACCTGCAAGATACAAGGAGGATTCAGTGGGGCCCGTGGTATCAGCTGCTGCTGGTAAATTCGAGCATCCTCTCCAAGACAGGGATTCTGGAACTGGGCTTGCCATTTCAATTGCTCTGTGACCTTGGGCCTGTTGCTCAACCTCTCTGGGCTTCAGCTGCCTCACCTGTAACTTGGCTATAATACAAGTGCCTGCCTCATAATTTACTGAGATTCGATGACAAAGTCCTATATTTATTGAATATCTAGGCTCTGGAAATACAGTGGTGGACAACTTAGAAAACAAACCCATGTCAGTGAAACTTATATTCTAATGAGGGAAAAAGGAAAATGTAAAATAAAAACCTATTAAATATGTATGCAAAAGGCTTTGCCCACTGTTTGGCACAAGGCACTTAGCTGACATATTAGCTAATATTACAACTGTTAGAATGACTTTTCTGGCTCAGAATCAGCCAAGAGTGGGTTCAAATCCCTGTCCTCACTTGCTGTGTGACCATGAACATGAGGCTTAACCTCTCTGGGCCTGTTGCCTCATGCATATGAAGAAATGAGTAATAAAAGGCCCTCGAGGTGAGGATCCAATGGGATAATGCTGTTAACACCATCGAAACAGCACTGGCACTTAGGTACTCAAGAAATGGGGCCTCAGGTTGGCATTTTGATTTTGTAGGAAGCACATGTAACTTCTGGGAAGGAAATGAGGCCTCTGAAGCCCCTCAGCCAGGATGGGAAGGCCATCTACTTCCTCAGGGTCGTGAGAGACCCCCAGCCTTCCCTGGGCCGCACAGCACACTGCAGACAGACCAAGGCCAGTGCGATGGGGACAGAGGTGACCCAGGCTGCGCCTCTCCATCCCCAAAGGCCTGCCCTACTTTTCTCTCCTCTTCCCGTCTCCAAACATCCTGTGGCCTTGGTTCTCCTGGATGGAGTTTTCTACCTTTTTCTTCAACATGAGCAGTTTCAAGGCAGGGCTTCTGCCTGGGAGGAGCTCAGAGGTATGTGGCTGAACTGCCGGTGAAATCCTCTTACTTCAGCAGAGCACTAGCTGAGCAAGGACTCCATGAGCACAAACCCATTTCATGATCACCACACCCCAAAATGATCATGGCAACACAGGCAGGGCTTGAAGACTTGCCCAAGTCATCTGTGGAGCACAGGGCCCTGGGGAGCCCGTGGACAGCCGACCACCTTGCTCTGAGCAAAGGCATGAGGTATTTACTTCAGTTAAGTGCAGGACATGCAGAAAGTTCATGGTGACCACTTGAAGTGCTGAAACTGGCTCACAGAGCCCCTGACTCCCTTTGAGGCCCTGGAGGTCTGGGGCCGGGAGGAGCTACTGCACAGGAACACACCACTGCACAGGTAGCGACTGAGACCCAGAGAGGGGGCTGGATTTGCCTGTGGTATTGGGGAAGGGGGCAGTGCCAGCACACCACAGGGCACTTCTGGGGCTCAGGGGACAGACACCACGTGACAGAGCCCTGAGTCACACCCAGCTAGCCTAGGAACCCTCAGTGGAGCAGAATTCTCGGAGGGCCCCCATCCCTCTCAGTAGAAACAACTAGAAAGGGGCTTTGGGAAAGAGAAAAGAACAGAGCTCTCAGGGCCTGCCTGGCTCAGCTGCCCTCAGTCACCACCACAAACCAGCACTTATTTGGCGCTCGCTGTGTGCCCGGCGCTGTTCCAAGCCCAGGAACTTCATTCTCAGTTGGGCCTGCCTGAACCATCTGAGGCAGGTTTCATTACTGTCCCCAATCCCAGTGGCCTAGAGGGGGCCCACTGCTTGCCCGCACGGGTCACACAGCATGTAAGTGGCAGGGCAGGGATGTGCCCCAGAGCCTGCCTCCAAATGACAACGGCAGAGCAGTGAAAAGCCCTTCTGTGTCTGGCAGTTTATCCTTCCAAAGACAAGAGGCTGGACTCCCTGAGGGCTCAGGTTGGAATTTGAGATCCATGACCTTGAGCAAGTTAATGTCCCTCTCTGGGCTTCACTTCACCTGTCAAGTGGGAGGCTCAGGCCAGATGAGCTCCAGGCTCCCTCCAGCTCTGCCACTCCAAGGGGAGGGGTGGTGTGGCCGAGGGGCAGCTGGGGTTCTTACCCATCTCTGCTACCTGCCAGCTGGGAGCCTCGGCCTCAGCTCCCGTCTATACCAGGAGGGAAACTGGAGTGCTTACCTCACTCCCCACCTGGCACCTAAGGGACCCGTGAGAAGCCCCAGCAGTGTCTTCTCCCCATGACCCCATAATGCTAAATAGGCGGCTGCGCTCCTGTCTCTGCTGCACCCTCCCCGGAGGCTCTTCTTCCGCTGTGTTTCAGTTGCCCTGGCCACCTTATTTTCTTCTCCTGAAGCAGACAACCCTCCCCATTTCCCAAGGACCAGAAGGCAGCTGTGGAGGGTGGGGGCAGGTCAGGAAGCCACTGGCAGGAGTGAAAGCAGAAAGAAAATCAGTGTGCCCCACAGGCTGCGCCTCCCTTCCTGTGGACAGGCCCTCCAACCGGTTCCCATCTCTGGGCCCTGCGGTGGGTGGGTGGGGGGCCACACCCGGGACTGATGAACAATAGCTGCTGACAGCAGGCCATTCCCAGAGGGTGGCCACTTCAAAGCCGGCCAGGCCCCACTGGGCTGGGCAACCAGGCTATAGCCAGAGGACTTAGTGTCAGGGACACAGGACACCACCCGTGGATGGGGGTGGCTTCCCTTGTTTCCATGTATTTACCTTGTGTAATAAGTACTATGCAGCACTTACAGTGTGCCAGGCATAATGCTAAGACCTTTATGCATGCTGACTCATTTACTCCCTGCAACTGGAGGAGGCAGGCACTATTATCACCTGTGTTTTCTAGATGGAAACTGAGGCCCAGAGAAGTGATGTCAGTCGCCTGGAGTCACGGAACTGGCAGGTTGCAGAGTTGGGAATGCTTTAGGCCAGCTGGTTTCAGGGCCGTGTGTGTGCATGTGTGTGGATGTGTGTGTGCTGTCCTTCCCCAAATCCAGAATAGGACAGCCCCACCCTGGTCACCTCACCTCGGCTGCCTATAACACCATCGAAACAGCACTGGCACTTAGGTACTCAAGAAATGGGGCCTCAGGTTGGCATTTTGATTTTGTAGGAAGCACATGTAACTTCTGGGAAGGAAATGAGGCCTCTGAAGCCCCTCAGCCAGGATGGGAAGGCCATCTACTTCCTCAGGGTCGTGAGAGACACCCAGCCTTCCCTGGGCCGCACAGCACACTGCAGACAGACCAAGGCCAGTGCGATGGGGACAGAGGTGACCCAGGCTGCGCCTCTCCATCCCCAAAGGCCTGCCCTACTTTTCTCTCCTCTTCCCGTCTCCAAACATCCTGTGGCCTTGGTTCTCCTGGATGGAGTTTTCTACCTTTTTCTTCAACATGAGCAGTTTCAAGGCAGGGCTTCTGCCTGGGAGGAGCTCAGAGGTATGTGGCTGAACTGCCGGTGAAATCCTCTTACTTCAGCAGAGCACTAGCTGAGCAAGGACTCCATGAGCACAAACCCATTTCATGATCACCACACCCCAAAATGATCATGGCAACACAGGCAGGGCTCGAAGACTTGCCCAAGTCATCTGTGGAGCACAGGGCCCTGGGGAGCCCGTGGACAGCCGACCACCTTGCTCTGAGCAAAGGCATGAGGTATTTACTTCAGTTAAGTGCAGGACATGCAGAAAGTTCATGGTGACCACTTGAAGTGCTGAAACTGGCTCACAGAGCCCCTGACTCCCTTTGAGGCCCTGGAGGTCTGGGGCCGGGAGGAGCTACTGCACAGGAACACACCACTGCACAGGTAGCGACTGAGACCCAGAGAGGGGGCTGGATTTGCCTGTGGTATTGGGGAAGGGGGCAGTGCCAGCACACCACAGGGCACTTCTGGGGCTCAGGGGACAGACACCACGTGACAGAGCCCTGAGTCACACCCAGCTAGCCTAGGAACCCTCAGTGGAGCAGAATTCTCGGAGGGCCCCCATCCCTCTCAGTAGAAACAACTAGAAAGGGGCTTTGGGAAAGAGAAAAGAACAGAGCTCTCAGGGCCTGCCTGGCTCAGCTGCCCTCAGTCACCACCACAAACCAGCACTTATTTGGCGCTCGCTGTGTGCCCGGCGCTGTTCCAAGCCCAGGAACTTCATTCTCAGTTGGGCCTGCCTGAACCATCTGAGGCAGGTTTCATTACTGTCCCCAATCCCAGTGGCCTAGAGGGGGCCCACTGCTTGCCCGCACGGGTCACACAGCATGTAAGTGGCAGGGCAGGGATGTGCCCCAGAGCCTGCCTCCAAATGACAACGGCAGAGCAGTGAAAAGCCCTTCTGTGTCTGGCAGTTTATCCTTCCAAAGACAAGAGGCTGGACTCCCTGAGGGCTCAGGTTGGAATTTGAGATCCATGACCTTGAGCAAGTTAATGTCCCTCTCTGGGCTTCACTTCACCTGTCAAGTGGGAGGCTCAGGCCAGATGAGCTCCAGGCTCCCTCCAGCTCTGCCACTCCAAGGGGAGGGGTGGTGTGGCCGAGGGGCAGCTGGGGTTCTTACCCATCTCTGCTACCTGCCAGCTGGGAGCCTCGGCCTCAGCTCCCGTCTATACCAGGAGGGAAACTGGAGTGCTTACCTCACTCCCCACCTGGCACCTAAGGGACCCGTGAGAAGCCCCAGCAGTGTCTTCTCCCCATGACCCCATAATGCTAAATAGGCGGCTGCGCTCCTGTCTCTGCTGCACCCTCCCCGGAGGCTCTTCTTCCGCTGTGTTTCAGTTGCCCTGGCCACCTTATTTTCTTCTCCTGAAGCAGACAACCCTCCCCATTTCCCAAGGACCAGAAGGCAGCTGTGGAGGGTGGGGGCAGGTCAGGAAGCCACTGGCAGGAGTGAAAGCAGAAAGAAAATCAGTGTGCCCCACAGGCTGCGCCTCCCTTCCTGTGGACAGGCCCTCCAACCGGTTCCCATCTCTGGGCCCTGCGGTGGGTGGGTGGGGGGCCACACCCGGGACTGATGAACAATAGCTGCTGACAGCAGGCCATTCCCAGAGGGTGGCCACTTCAAAGCCGGCCAGGCCCCACTGGGCTGGGCAACCAGGCTATAGCCAGAGGACTTAGTGTCAGGGACACAGGACACCACCCGTGGATGGGGGTGGCTTCCCTTGTTTCCATGTATTTACCTTGTGTAATAAGTACTATGCAGCACTTACAGTGTGCCAGGCATAATGCTAAGACCTTTATGCATGCTGACTCATTTACTCCCTGCAACTGGAGGAGGCAGGCACTATTATCACCTGTGTTTTCTAGATGGAAACTGAGGCCCAGAGAAGTGATGTCAGTCGCCTGGAGTCACGGAACTGGCAGGTCGCAGAGTTGGGAATGCTTTAGGCCAGCTGGTTTCAGGGCCGTGTGTGTGCATGTGTGTGGATGTGTGTGTGCTGTCCTTCCCCAAATCCAGAATAGGACAGCCCCACCCTGGTCACCTCACCTCGGCTGCCTCTTCAGAAAGCCACCCTTGTTTTGCACAGTTTGCCGCTCTGAAGACAAGCCCCTGAGAGCTATTCTCTCAACTTCTCCATGATTCCCCTGGGGTCCTCCCGGGAGAGGCTGGTGCCAGCCACCAGCAGTGGGCCTCTGGCGGTGGCCCAGTAGGCCTTGCCACAGGACACAGTGTTTTTCCACTCCTGCTGGCAAGCCTCTGTGGCTCCTCTGAGCCCTTGACCCCAAAGCCCTGTGGCCCAACTGCCCTGGAAGCAAGGACAAGTCTTCCTCATTCCCTGGGGACAGCGAGGAGAGGGCGGCCCACAGGCGGAGGGAGGCTAGTCTCCTGCTGTCCTGAACTTCCGGTGGGGGTGGGGGAGGGTGCTGCGCAGCAGAGGTCCTTCATCCCAGGGACAGGGGCTCTAAGAACTGGGGTCGTGGGTCTGTGCCCAGGGCCTCGGCAGGCCCTGAGGATCCCCACAGCACCCTGTGTGTGGTAGGGACCACTGCTAACTCATTTCACACAAGGGGAAACCAAGGCTCAGAGAGGGACAGGGAATCGCCCAAACTCATGAAAGGGCAGAGCTGAGACCCAAAACCAGGTCTGCTCTGACTGCCAAGCCTGCCGTGTTTGAGCATTGGTGGGACGGGCTGCCCTGGAGGCTGGCAGTAGACACACGCAGCCTCAGAGCATGTCTATGTTCAGGTCCCAGACTGAACTCCGAACTCCCCTTTGGCACCACAGGGCTGTGCTTACTGTGTGAGGGCCTGGACTGGTGCCACCTTCCTGGACCAGGCACACTGTGAGAGCAGGGTTGAAGCCTGCCTTGCGCCCTGTGGCACCATGAGGTTAGTACAGGGGGGTGGGGGTGGGGCAGAGAACAGGTGAAGAGGTGAAAGAATGCAGGGTACCAGGGTTGAAAGCTGGGGTGCCTGGGTTCAAACCCCAGGTTAGCCACTGACAAGCTGTGTGACCTTGGGCAAGTTAATTACCTTTTCAGAACCACAGTTGCCCCATCTGTAAAGTGGTACTATAACTGCACATACCTCAGAACATTAGGAGGATTAAATGAACTAATAAACAGCACTGAGAACAGTACCTGGCACACAGGTGCTAATTTGTGGCCATTATCACAATTTGTTGAGTGAATTAAGCCACAGGATATTCTGGGCCAAGTTTCAGACACTGGAATGCTGAAAACTTCAAAAAAGGGAACTGAGGCTTGGAGAGGCAAAGTGACTTGAATTTGGGTCCTCAGCCACCCAGGCCCAGGCCCTCCCTTCAACCACCCCCTGCTGGACCAGTTCCAGCTACTGGAGCAGGGCGATGGCCAGTCAGAAGCGCGCCCCGCTGCCCTGGGCCACCCCCACAGCCGTGAGCCTGGTCTGCGGCCAGGGCTAGAAGCCACAGCAGCGGCGGGCGGGCGGGCAGGCTGGCCGTAAGCTTGAGGAAGTCCACACAGCCTGTGTTTGTCTTGGCTTCTCTGGGCTGGTCCAGGCCCTGCCATTGTTCTGGGAACCACGCCTGCCCCTCAGGGGCCTGGAGCCGCCTGAGGAGGAGGCTGTCTTTAGGGGTGGGGTACAGGGGACCTCTCGTAAGTCACGTCTTCAACCAGCCACAGTTGCAGCCTGGCAGCCTCTACTCTTTGCTTTGATTCTATTCTCCTGCCTTCTCCATTTTGAATCAAATGTTGTTCACTGTTCCTGGTAGACATTAGCCTCCTCCGTCAGACTGAGGGCTCCTCTAAGGGTCTGGGCCAGACATGCCTCAGGGCCTTTGCACTGCTCTTCTGGCTCCCTGGAATGCTTTTTTCCTCGACACCCACATGGCTCACCTCCTCTGCCCTGAGTCCAACTGCTCAGGGAGCCTTGCCTGGCCACCCCATGTAAAGTGCAGCCCTTCGCTGCATTATTCTCTCCCACACTCGTCATGTCACCATCTGACTCCTATATGCTTGACACATTCACCTTGTCACAACCAAAGAATTAGCTCCTAGATGACAGGGATTTTTGTTTTGTTGACACTTGCACCTCCCCAGGCCCTGTTCCTACAAGGACAGATGGTAGAGGCTCAAAACGTAACAGAGCATCAGTCCAGGATCGTCTCTAGCACCGCTTCAGGCCAGTGTTCTATAGGAATTTCCCGATAGACTCACCTCCACGTGGGGAAATGGAGGCGGAATGAAGAAAGGATGGGAGTTTACCACACAGTCTGTGTTAAGTATTGTGCTCGGTGCTTGACACACCTTGTTTTAACAATCACTGCCACCCATTTTCTAGATGAGGACACTGAGGTTGGAAGTGAGGGAGTGACTGTGGACAAGTCACCGAACCTCTCCCAGCTCAGTTCCCTCATCATTTAAGGAGAGGGGGCAGGGGAACAGTTTGCACACAAGATGGAGGAGGAAATGGGGTGACACAGGTGAGCGAGCCCTCCAAGGAGTGGCGGGAGTGGCCCGCAGCACCCTGTCCTGCCCGTCCCGGGTGGGGCCATGAGCTGGAGGGGTGGGGAATGTGTGCGGCTATTTCTGAAGCCGGGACAGCTTCCTTTCTAGGTTGGGTTTGAGGACCTCAGGGTGGCTCTGCACCCAGAACAGGCAGGGGGCAGCAATAGTTCCCACTCTGCCTCTGCAACCCTGGGGACCCAAATCTTGTCCTGGAGTAACTCTAGGATCTGTTCAGACTCACAATTTGTCCTGAGGGGCTCTTCATCTGGAGGGAACACGGTCCTCAATTCTAAATTCCAGTGCAGCAAAAGCCCCTTTGACTTCACCCACTGCCCATCGCTGTACCTCTCAGATGTCACCTTCACATACTCTTTTGATCTTGGGGGGCTTTTTGATCTTAAGGAGATTGTCCCTGTATCAAGATGTGAATGACAGGGGCAAATGACAGATGGTGAGGACATATAAAAGCAGATCAGCTGACATGGCCACCACTTAGCGCCCTGAGCTCTGGCTCACACTTCGATCACTGAGACCCCTCTGCACTGACTTTCGTTGTAGAATGACCATGATACCATCTGGTAACTTGATTATCAGGTAATCGTTCAGCTCTGTTAACAGATAACATTTTAGTTATGGGCTAACATTTTCATTATTGCCAATATACCATTTTTACCTAAAATCTTAATCATAAACTAATGTTTTAACTATCAGCTACCACCTTTGTTAATAGCTAACATCCTAGTCATCATGTAACATATTAATCTGCAGCAAATATTTCAGTTACGGCTAACACTCTAGTTAACATCTAACATCTTGGTAATGAGTGAATGCCTTAATCATTGGGAAACTTCTAAACACTAAAATATGAATTACTAGCTGAAATGTTCATTCTAAGGTAATTCAGTTAATGTGATTTAGTATCAAGTCAGTGTTCTCAGACCTCAGTGTGCTTATGGGTCATCTGGGGATGTTGTCCAAATGCAGGTTCTCATTCTGTAGGCCTGGAGCAGGTCCCCAGGTCTGCATTTCTAACAAGTGTCCACGTTGTCAGTGAATAGCTGGTAATTGACAGCACAGCTGCCCAGCTAACCTCAGTTACTAGCCAACTTAACAGTACAACTCCAATGTTTGTTATCTGCTAACATCTGCACAACTGCCAGCACCTCAATGTGGGAACTAGAGGTGTGCAGGAGTTTATACAGGCTCCAGAGAAAAGGGCCATTCAATTTTCAGGAATCTTGTGAGCTGGTTGTTAAACCATACGTAATATGAAATCAGACGTAGTGGGAGTATTTTACAGCATGAAATGCACAAATGCTACCAGCCAGGGCTTTCTTTTATTTTGGATGACTGGTTTATCAGCACACACTCCCCTCCTAGCTCAGGCCTGGTTTTGAGCAGGAAGGCCTGTGGGTGGGTGGCTGCAGGGGGATTCTCTCTGCTGAGGGCCAACCTCCATGAGGCAGGGGAGGGACAGAAGCACAACTCACTTTCCCCGTGGACTTGACGCCCTTCCAGATGCAGAAGAAACAGATCAGCCAGACGAAGAGAAGGCAGAGAGCAAGGTCCCACTTCAGAGAGCCCGGGTCGTCAATTCCAGAGGACAAGCTTAGCACGTTGCGCCTTCAAGCAAACAGAGCCACACATCAGTAGGGGCCCAGCTCCGGGGCAGAGAGAGCCAAGGCCTGGACCCAACAGGATGGGGCCAAACCCTGGCTCAGGGGCTTCACTCGCACAGGTCACCTTGCCTCTCGAAGCCCTGGAGTCCCCATGGGTCTCAGGAAATAGTTACCACCCAGGTGACAGTGGTGGGGAAGTCAACAAGGGATGGCTTCAGATCCCTGACTCAGAGGAGCCTGGGTTCAACCCAGCCTGGCCTCAGGCAAGTTAAGTAAAACCCCTAAGCCTCAGTTTCCTCATCTGTAAAATGGGTACTGATTCCCACGTGATTCTCAGCAGACCCTTCTTCAGTGCCCACTGTGGGCCAAACACGGGGTTGAAACTCAGCTCCACCATGTAACGGTCACCTTTGGGTTCATTACCCAACTTCCCAGACCTGTCTCCTCACCTGTAAAACGGGAATGACGACCTCCCCCACCACTTTCTGTCCTATTCCTCTTTTACTATGCTCACCTCCCTTTCTGATTTGGATCTCTCACTAAAATGCAACTGACCCTCAAGAGGATGAAGTGTTTGTTCTGTGTGCAGCTGCAGAACCCACCCACCTCTTTGCAGGGATGGCTGTTAGTTTCTCCTAACTACGCGGCCTGGGATGCAGCCAGCACTCGATAAACCTTACGAGTTGTCACTGTCCTGCTGCTGCGACATCCAGAGCAGCTCCGGACACCTAAGCTGTGCTGGTTTCCTCCACAACTGTTTGCTAGGGCCGTGAAGGTCTCGGAAGGAGGCACATGGTTTGAAGGATGATTGCCATTCTGCAGCAACAGCCCTGCCCAGCACCAAACGGCGAGCATAGGTCTCTGGTGTCCAAGAAACTTGCTGAGGAGTGGAGGACACACACAAGCACCTATTCACAGGCACACCCCCAAGAGGCAGATGCCATCTGAAAGCAGGGCAGGGCCAGGCAAGGTGCTGATGGCCAAGAAGACCATGAGACCTAATGCCCAGAAACTGTCCCCAATGTCCAGAGCTCCAGCGGCTGCGGCAGTGACCATGGGCGGCCACCCTGCACACAGAGACGTCAGCCCTGCCCACCAGTCCACCGGGGAATCTTCAAGCCACTGACCCTGGGAGAAGCTCGATTTTCATCTAACAAAAGCTGGCTCCCTGTTTGAAGGCCACACTCTTGAACAAAAGAGGCAGAGTGGGGAGTGTCACCTGGTGCCTCAGCTTCCTCCTCCGTAGAACACAAGTACAGCTCCTGCCCCCAGACCGTCCCTCACTCCCAGCCAGCCCCTGGCATAGTCCCCACGGTTGGGGCTCCAGGCCAGGACACCTGTTAGGCCAGGGTACTGCTTTCCCTGTTTGTTTTTTTTCCAGAGAAGCACCAACATGAGGACCTTGAATAAGCCCAAGTTGACATCTTAAATGGCATTCAAGCAATGCCTGTTCTGGTCACAGCTGTGCCCCAAGCACGGGGCACACGGTAGGGCCCCACACATACCTGCTGAGTGAATGAATCAAAGAACTCAACCAGGGTGACTGACAAGTCCACGTCACTCTGGACCAATCCATGACATAGTTGCACCGGCCAACCTTGAGAAGGGGCAGCTTCCTTTGCCCTTTTCCTGTTGGTCGCCCTGTTATCAATGGGCTTCCTGCAGGCCAGCACCTTGTGCGGTATGTGCTCAAGGTAACAACAATGGGGCTTTTTTGATTCATCTCCTCTGATTCAAGAACTAGAGCCCCTTCACCCATTTTACAGATGGGGAAAACCAAGGCTTTGGGGGAGCTAGTGCCCACAGCACAGCCAGCAGGTGGCAGAGCTGCCACCCTACACCCCATACTGACTCCAAAAGCCAGTGCTCTGTGGACTCCACACCAGCCCTCAGATTAACAGAAAAAATAGAACCTAAACTTTAAAAAGAATGTGTCCCATCCCTGCTAAAGGCCAGGGTCACCTGGAGCCTAGGGGCATTCCCACGAAGCAGGCTGTCGGCCAACAGCATCCCGACTGGGGCCCTGCCAAGCATGTGCATCTGGCAGCTGTAGCAGCTTTAGAACAAAAAGCCCTTCCCCAGGCGGCCTCCAGAGCTCAGCGCCTTCAATGAAGGTCTGGGGCATGCTGGGCAGCAGCCCAAGGCTTCCTTGTGAATGGGCAGCGTCAAGGAGAGCACTTTCCCACCTCCACACCTTGGCACCCCCTCCAGCGCAAGGCACGCCACCCTGCTGCTCCCACAGAAGCCTTCCCTGCTGCTCCACGGCCGGCTAACTGGAGAGTCCCCGTCTGTCCTTCCAGCTGTCCTCTTACACAGGATGTACACTTGGGTGACAAGAAAAGCCTGTCTTGCCTAGCAGACTCTAGACATCCCAAGGACAAGGATCTCACAGGCAGGCAAATAGGTGCTTGGCTAAAACCTTTTGTTTTCTCCTTAAGGCCAGGTTGGCTGAGAAGTCTGAAACCCCCAGAAACCCAGAAGTCTGTTCCTGACCATACCAGGCCCAGTCACTCACTGGCACCCTTTCTGCCTTCTCCTACCACTACGCCGGGCAAACCAGTGGTACTCACGCATGGAAGACTGCGTGTTGGCTTGCTCTGGGCAGCTGACCAGCTGACCAGCTGAGGAAGTCACAGGGAAACTGAGTTACGTACTTGCTTCTCTGTTGCTGATGGCAAGCCCCTTGTACGAGCTCACGGTGCCTCCAGCAACATTTTAAGGCATGTTTTCTTTTACCCAACAATTCCATTCCTAAGACTATCTCCTACAATTACACTTGTGTGTATGGCCAAAGACAGGGTCTACCCCAAGCTATTTATCACAGCATGTCTGTAGGAGCAAAAGATTGGAAACCACCCAGGTGGCCACCCACAGGGGCTCAGCACGCCCAGAGAAGACACCCAGTGGAATGCTACGCAGCCCATATGACAGGGGGAAGCTCCCTGCGTACAGATAAGGAACTATATCCTGGAGATAAAACAACTGAACAAAACAAGGTGAAGAACAGTGCGCATGGCATGCTCCCTATTGTGTAAAAAGGGAGGAGGTGGATGCACATTTGTGCTTGAACACAGACTATTTTTGGCAGGATACACACTGGTTGCATTTGGAGGGGGAACCAGTGGTGGGGATGAGGGGGGAGGGGAACTCACTTGGCCTTGAATATATTTTTTTTACTATTTGAATATTTTTAATGTGCACACATCACCTTTATAAAAGTTTTTATTTTAAATTCTGGAAAATGTTTGTATAATGGGCCATGTGGACATTCTAGGAATGGAATGAATGTGTCCCATCAATCAGAGGTTGTCATAACAGAGCCCGAGGCAGGCTCAGGGCCAAAAGGACCAACATCCTTTCCAAAGACATCTAAGGGGTAGCTGTGGAGGCCAGAGGGCGTGTGGGGACCCAGGCTCAGGATCCTCCACCAGACCTGCTGGGTGCCCATGGCCTCAGCTACAGAGCAGCAGACGGGATCTGTCGGGCCTTCCAGCGGGACAGGGGAGTGCTCAGTGACTGTGGAGTGCTGTGCCCCGGAGGGCCTGCCATGTGCACTGTTGTCACTGTGCCTCCCACCCACCCCAGAAGACTGTACATGTTACCCTCAATCTGGCCCCATCTCCTGAATCTTCACTACCCTGTCCAGGCTCCTACTGCTTCCCAGTCCCCAGGACTATTTCAGCAGCCTCCTCCTGGGTCTGCCTGCCCCCACTATCACTGTCAACCCCCATCCCACCCCCCACCCAGTCTGTGCTCCTTAGTCAGGCCTTGCCCCTTCTCTGTTGTACATTCCCCCATGGCTCCCACCTACCTGGCCAATCAGGTCCTCTTAACTTGCCCCATTCTCTTTTGCCTCCCTGGATAGCACGACCAATTATCATTCATACCCAGACTCCTTAAAGCCTATTAATAATGATACCGTGACCACAGGCATAACGGGATGGGTCCAGGACAAGCTGCATGCACAGCAGTCCCATCTCAAACCCCATTTCCCAAATGGCCCCTTCCCCTCCTCCTTCAGCCACAGTTCCTTCCTATCTTCCGGTATGGTCCCTGAATAGGTGGAGCATATTCCTGCCTCAGGACCTTTGAACTGGCTTGTTCTCTCAGCCACCTCTTCAGCTCTTGCTCATATGCCACTTCACATGCTTCCTTTCCTGGCCACCCTATGTGAACAGCATCCCTGGTCGCTCTCCTTCCACTTTCCTGGTCTTATTTTATTACAATTGTATTTGTGCTATTTAATGTCTGTCTATCCTACTGGAATATCATCTCCATGGAGGAAGGGTTTGTGTCTGTTTTCATCACTGCTGGATCCAGAACAGTGCCTTTTACATAGTAGGAGCTCAATAGACATTAGTGGAGTAAATCAATCATACCCATTTGGTTGATGGGGAAACTGAGGCTCAGAGAGGTTCAGGAATTCACCTGAAATTACCCAGGTAACAACCCTGGGCCAGGTTCCTTTTCTCTGATGCCACTTGGGGACCAGCTAACCATGTGCTGGGGTCCCGTGCTGCCTTTTGCAAAGGGCCCCCAGTATCCTAGGCTTCTCTGCATCTTTTACAGAGGGAGAAGACCCAGAGGTGAGCTGCATTCTTGTCCAAGAATAGTAATGATTCATTCGAGGGTGGGATCCAAAAAAAGAATTGCCTGGACGTCTGTTTTGAGTCGGCCGCCCTGCTGCCGTCCAGCCGGCACTCAGAGATGTAAATACGTCCTCCGAGTGGGCCAAATCGTTTCCTTTTGACTGCTGGCCAGCCATTTATTGGCGATGGCTCTTCCCTGGAGACTGGCGGAGGCAACAATTATAAAAGAGCCCGTCCGCCCTGAGCACGGGGCCGCACAAGGCCTTCGCCGCCGCCTCCCCCTTCCGACAGCTGCAAGGGAAGATTGGCTGAGCAGGGCTTGTTTGCAAATATGACTCATTTCTTTGATTCTAATAAAGTCTAATGATATGTGCTGAGCTCCCAGGGGGCCCTGGAGGATCAGGGAGGAAGGCATGGCTCCAGCCTGATGGAGAGCATTTGGCTACATATGACCCCACCTGTCTTCCAGGTCTGGGGCTGAAGCAGGACCCTTGGGACAGAGGTGACCCCAAAGCAAGAACAAGCAGGGGGCTGACTGGAGGCAGAAGATGAAGCTGCTTCCCTATCAGAGTGACTCGGAGTGAAATCATAACACCAACATGAAATGACTGTCTCAGGGGCCCAGGTGGCTTTCAAAGGGCATCTCACTGGCTCCCGCTAGAATGGTGGTTTAGCGCTGCAGACAGGGTGGGCATGGGTATCCAGGCCAAGAGAACACCCATGAGTAACCTGGGTCACACACATATGGCTCAGTGTTACCTGTGACTGCGGACTTGCCCTGGACTTACTCCCCAGCTGGTGGGGGGACAGACACTGGAGGTGGCATTGGTGGCAGAGGTCAGGGCTAGGAACTCTGGTATGTCTAGTTGCCTATTTAACCTTGGGCAAGTCACTTAACCTCTCTGGTCCTCAGTGTCCCAGCTAATAAGCCATACCCAGAGTCTCCGTCCTCAGCACAATACTTATCTTAGCTCTAACACTGGGGCCAAGCTGTGAGGTGCTGGGACCATGGTATCTCTGGAGTTTCAAAGGTGAGGTGACTGCCCTGGGGTCATGCAGCCGGGACATCTGGGAGCCAGAGTCCGTCTCCTTGCTTTGAGGGACTGAAGGTGGGGAGCACCACTCCCGCTCTCTGCTATCTCCTCTTGTAAAACTGAGAGAAAGGCGCTGGCAGGGATCATCAGCAAGGCCCTTCCCTGTCCGGGGCCTGGGGGAGGTCTCTGCTGCCACAATGCCTTGTTATGATTCTCAGGCAGCTCCTCAGCACCCGTCAGGCACTGTTGGCTGAAGGCAGGGACAGTTCAGGGCTCCCTGCACCTGGGGCAGGTAGGAAAAGTGAAGCCAAACAATGGCTAGGGCTGGGCTTTGGCTCAGGGGCATGGAGAGCTGCCTTTGAGAACACCCTCACTGCTCTTTAGCCCAACTGGCCACCAGACAGTGGCACCTCAGTAATGCCCAACAAGCTTCTCTCAATGGAAACCCCAGAGCTAGTCACTGCAGGGCCGGGGGCTCTTTTCAGGGGTAATCACATAAGCTAAATTTCCCTGCAGAGAGAACCCCAACTCATTCATAGCTGCGTCCTTTGAGGCCCTGTTAAAAGCTGGTGCTTAATATACGTCTCAGCCACTCTCACCAGTGTGTTCCTTCTGCAATATCCAGAACACACAGATTCAGCCACATCACTCCCATTCGCATATACCTTCCATGGTTCCCCTCCTGGAGAACAAAGTTCCAAATCAGCCTAACACTCGAGTGCTCTATCTTTCTCTGCGCAGAGCATTGGCTCTATACAGATGACTTACTCCTAGGTACTCATGAACTTTCAGAATGCCATGCCTCTGCATGGTCTGTTGCTTCGGTTAGGAGTTATCTTTTCTCTCTCCTTTTCAGCCCAATGAGCTCCTATTCATCCCTCAAAGCCCAGCTCATATGGCCCCTCTATTTGCAGAGGGGGAAACAAGGCCAAAGAGGGTTAGTATCTTGCTGCTCTAGGCTACACAGCCAAGTGGATGCAGACATGGAATTATGTAAGAATTGGTACTCAATGGTGGAGCCCTCTCATTTAATCTTCTCTGGCTGGAGAAGTTTTTAGTATGAGAAAAGCCAGGAGAGGGTTTTGAGCTGAGAAATGACATGTATGGAGTCACACCTGATTACAGAGATGCAAAGGTATGGCAGGGAGAGCAGTGAGCAGCCAGTGCTGGGATCTGGGTCAGCTTTGATGGGGGTTCCACGGAGGGGAGTGGATTGTTGTGTGAGTGGAGAGGGTTGTCAGATATGCTGTAAAGGGAGGACCAGAAGGACCTGTGATTAGATGTGGGATTTGAGGTAGAAAGGAGTTTGGGATGATTCCTAGATAGTTTCCCTATATAAAGGGGCTCTGCAAAGATGAAATGAAATGATAGGAGCAAATGACAGGAGGCAGGAGCCCTAGAATCCCTCAGGAGAGACCAGTCTGAGGACAGGCAGGGGAGGAGCCATGAGGAAGACTGTAGTAGTCCCTGAGGACCTCACACTCCCGAGCTCCTCTGCAAGAGCCCCTGTGCCTCTGAGCGCAGGGAGATGACCCAGGAAGGCACCCCTCTGTGACAGAGGGGGCCATGTGGGCAACTGACAATGCACCATGCTTACTGCCTCTGAAGGTTCTATCACTTGAGCTCCAAATGCCTGTGAGGGGGCAGTTTTATCTACTATGAGGGCACTAAATATACACTCATGGCTCGCATTTATCAGGCAGGTTTTCTCAGGGCTGGCCATGCTTGATCTCACAGCCTTTTCATCTGGGGAGGGCAGTGCTATGTACCCCCCTAGTAAAGGTGAGGACACTGAGGCCCAGAGAGGAAAAGGCACCTGTCCAGGCTCAAAGTGGCACAGTGGGAGTTCCAGTCTGGGCAGTGAAACCATGCCCAGGGCAACGAGGCCCCAGCAGGTGACCAAGTGGAGGGCTGAGTGCCAGTGTCCTAGGTGGGTGGGTCCTGAGTGGTCAGGCTGTGCCAGGAGCAGCAGAGAACAGACACTATAGTCTTGGGCTCCATTCAAGAGGGAAGAATGAAGTGTCTGCATTTCTTTGTGTGTAAACTCAGCTCTCCAGAGGGTGGGGTGCTGAGAGGTGATGAATGTGTAATGCCCTTTGTCTGCAAGTGGAAAATAAGCACACAGAAGGAGCCCCGGTCCAAGTAGCCGGAGGGACCTCTGCACATATATAGAAAGCCTGCATATCACCACAGGGACGAGGGCCGCCTGAGGCAGGGAGGGCCAACTGACCCTTTTTTATCTAGCTTTTCCCAGCCCTGGCCCTAGAGCATGGCTGGGACCACTCAACAGACCACGCCCTTTGCTGTGGGTCTGTTCCTGGGCCAGGTTCTAAGAGGTAGGGAGACACCCTGGAAATAGCAAAGCCACACATGAAAGAAGGAGTGTCACCTTGTGATGATGAGGGACTACCCCCTTCCTTAACCTGCTCCTAGCTCTCAACCTCCATGCAAGGCCTTATCTCAGTTACTTCCGGGATCTAGGGAGCTACACCCAAGTGCTGAGCCCTAAATCTAATAGCTCATGAAAAGCAGGGTAAGTGGTGCACTAATAACATTTTTGATTGGCCTCCAAGCAGTGTGCTAGAAGGATCTCTCGTATGTCAGCTCAGAATTCCCCATGCTTCAGGCTTCCACATTCTGCCTTCCTGATGTTTGTCCTCTGAGTATATTCCTGTAGTTATTGACTATGGAGTTATTGACTATGGCTATGGTGGTAAACTGTAAAAATGCCCATAATTTTCCACTCCTCTCATAGAGAGACAGAGCCTATTTCCCCATCTCTTAAATCTGGGTTAGTCTTGTGGCTTTCTTTGGCCAATGGATCATTAACAAAACCAACGCAAGGAGAGGCTTTTAAGCACTGGGGCTTTCCAACACTGGGGCTTTCCCGTTTATGGTTTTTGGAATGCTGAGCCACTATGAACAAGCCCAAGCTAGCCTGCTGCGTGATGAAACCACACGGAGCAGTTGCCCCTGGCACCGCAGCCCACAGCCAGGTAATCCCCAGAAGGGCTCTAGAGCTCACCACAGTGAGGGAGCCCAGCAAAGACCGGAAGAACTGCCCAGCCATGCTCAGCCCAAACTGCCAATCAGCAGAACCATGAGCCAAATAAATAAATGGTTGTTTGTTCAAAGCTACAGGGTTTAGGGATCATTGTTACACAGCAAAAGCTAACTGATATATTATTTTCCACTCTACTTACCTTTTTCACTTGAGTAACTACTTCAGCTTCATATATGCATTTTTCTCTGTGCAATAACAGGTATGGTGTGCTAACTATATTTTTTCTAAAATACATTAAAAACCAGTATCATTTTCAGACAACAGAAGTTCATATACCTGCCTTTGGGAAATAATCCTCAGAGATCCCGTGGGTGTGGGAATGATTCAGTCCCCTCATTTGACAGTTAAAGAAACTGAGGCTCAGAAAGGGGCAGTGACTTGCCAAAGGTCAAACAGCCAGAACTGGGATTCGATTTCAGGCCTGTCTGAGACCAAAGGCATGAATTTATCTCTAAATCTGCATCCTTCTAGCCCCTACCCTCCACCCCGGATAATGACTCCCCATCCTTGCGGAGAAGATAAGGGAATGGGGTGTCCTGTCTGCCCCCACCCATGCTCTCCCTTCCTTCCTCCCCTCCCCCACTCCTTCATTTAATGAGGCTGGCCTTACTCCCAGAACTCGGTGACAGGGGAGGTAAAGTTGTGGGAGCTGAGGGTGATCCACATGCTCTTGTTCTTGCGCATGGTGTCCTCCATGCACTGCGGTGTGTTCCAGCTGTGGTTGCAGTGCGCCCAGGGCAGCTCCGACTGGAAGGACTGGAACAAGTAGTATGTGGCCCAGGCCAGGATGATGATGTAGTATACATTCAGGAGGGACACGATCACGATGGAGGCATACCCGATGCCTGTGGGGGTGGGCGAGCAAAATGAGAGTCAGGAGCGGGGCCGGCCCCACAATGGCCACATGCTCAAGGAAGGTCCTAGCATCCCCAGGCCCAGGGCAAGAAAGGGGATCATCAAATATGTATAGGATGAATGGATGACTGGATGGACAGACTAGTGAAGAAAGGATGGCTAGATAAATGGAATATCGGAATGAATAGAAGCATGATAAAGGAGGGATACATCTATGAATGAAGGTTAGATGAATGGTTAGACAGATGGATAAACAGATGGTTCGTTGACTGGATATATGGTTAGATGAACTGACAGTGAGTTGAATGGATGGATGTTGGATTGATAGATGCATGTATGGACAGTGGTTGGTTGGAAGGTTAGTTAGATGAATAGATGAATGAGTGAGTGGGTAGGTAGATAGGTGGGAGGATAGATGGTCTAATTCTTGACTAGTTTAATGGAAGAAGGGTTTAATGTATGGATGGGTGGATTTATATGGATGAACTGGTGAACACTCACACACTGCCAATTATAATCAGAAGAGTATTTTAATGCATACTAGGTTATTAGGCATAGGACTAAATATTATAATAATGCAGCTACCTAATCTGGTGCTTACTAGTATACAAAGCACTTTTACATAGTTCTGTCATATCTTCAGAGCAACCCTACTTCAGAGTAAACATATTATTTCCATTTTATATATGAAGAAATTGAGGTACAGAGACTAAGTGACTTTCCCAAAGTTATAGCAAGAGTTGGTAGTGGGACCTGAACCAGACAGATTCCCAACTCTAAGTAATTATCTTCGGCACTATGCTGATCGGCAGCTGCTAGCTGCGGGAACAGCCTCTCTGGGTTGTGTGCACTGATCAGTTACTGTGAGGGGCAGCAACCAGCTATGATGTAGTGGATGCTACCTTGTGTCAGGCACAGCACCAAGTGGACTTGAATGAGGCTCCAATGCACCTGGCAAATAGTAGGTATTCAATAAAAGTGTGAACTGATGAACACCAGGCCCCAGGTGACCTCTCTCCCATACTCACCAGAGAACAAAGGGCAGATCTTTTCCCAGCAGGTGATGCCCCCTTCAGAGGTATACTGGCCTATGATTACCTCCAGGAAAAACACAGGCAAGCCGCCCCCAAACAGGAAAATAAAATACGGTATGAGAAATGCACCTGCAGAGAGAGCAGAGGTGGGTAAGGGTCAAGCTGTGGACGTCACAGGGGCCAAGCCCAAGCCCTCCCTGCCAAGGCGATCAGGCGATCAGAGGGAGAGTGAGGGACATAGGGATGAAGGCTGAACTACTGGGCCTGGTTGGAAATTCTCCACGCTCTGCCCACCGATCCAGCTGGCAACCCCTTTCCAATGTGCCCTCTTCACCTTCTTCAAATCTACCAGCTGTTTTAAGCCTCTGCACCTTTACTTAGGCTGTGCTGACTGCCTGCCTACCTTGCCCATATCCGTCCATCTCAAATACGACGTCACTGAAGCTTTCACCTATCCTTCCCAGGCCCGCCCAGGGCAGGGAGCTGAGAACTAGCTAGGAAGGATGCAGTAATGAGAAGCAAGAGTGGTTTGGCTGGGAGTAGGAGCCAGGGCAGGAGGGAAGGGCAAAGAGCCAGGGCAAAGGTTCCTACCTGGTGTCCGCTAATGGCTTCAGCGGGTCCTTAAACCCTTTGAAACTGAGGGCAACCTGGGTCTATGTGTATGTGCTTTGTTCTGGGGAGCATCTGGGACACTCTTATCAGAGTCCCAGAGGCACCTGAGACCTACAAAAGATTAAGAAACCAGGCTCTAAGGCAGAATTTCCCAAAAGGTAGTTCTCCTGACTCAGGCGGCACATGGCATGCCCATCTCTGCTGGCCTACAAGCCTTTGATGACAGGCAGTTATGAATGGTGAGCTACCCAGTTCTGAGCCCTTGGTGGTACCAGTGAGAAAGTCTCTGTCCTGTGCTGCCCCACTCAGGCACCTCCAGCAGGAGAGGGTTCTAGCTCAGAGCCTTCAGCTGGTCAAAGAAAACCCCGAACACCAAAAACCCAAACCAACCAGCCAGAGATCTCACATTTGAAAAACATCTTCAGTGGGTGAAGGGAGTCAAAAGGTACAAACGTCCAGTTCTAAGAGAACTAAGTTGTGGGGATATAAGGTGATTATAGTTAATAATTAATAATACTGTACTGCATACATGGAAGTTGTAAGAAGTAAATCTTAAAAGTTCTCATAGTAAGAAAGAAAATGTGTAACTGTGTGGTGACAGATGTTAACTAGACTTATTGTGGTGATCATTTAGCAATATACACACGTACTAAAAATCATTATGTTGTACACCTGAAATGAATACAGTGTGATCTGTCAATTATATCTCAATAAAACTGGAAACAAATTTTACATTAAAAAAGAAAAATAAAAAATATCCTCATTACATTTTACTTTGTTGGATACCTTTCCATTATGGCAAATTATACTAGTTTTCCATTTATGGGGAGAAACAAAGCTTGCTTTTGAACTACATTTGGTTTAAATTAAGAATCAGTGAAAGCAAATGTAAGGAATGATACAAAGTCAGTAGTTGGGAGGTAGGTGGGTATGGGGGACTTTATTCAATGAGGACATGTGAATGTCTGAAGCTTGGACACGTGGGCCTGGCATCACTGCCCCTCTTCCATGATGGCAAACTAGAAGATCAGAGAGGGTAGGGGATCTGCTCAAGGTAGCACAGGAAGACCCTGAAAGACACCACCCAACTCCCAGCCATTCTCATTTCCTGCCTCTGAGGTGGGGTGGGGTCTCGGAGGGCTGATGGGGGGCAGGGGGCAGTCAAAGTGGAGGTCTGGGAAAGCAGGGCATGGAAAGCCCACCCAGTCTGGCCCCACTCTTTTACCATTCTTTGCCCAGCCCAGGCTTACCTCCACCATTTTTGTAGCAGAGGTATGGGAAACGCCAGACATTGCCCAAACCGACAAAGCCACCAGCCACGGAAAGCACAAAGTCGATCTTGCTGGACCACTTCTCCCTCTGTGGGGGCTTCCCCTCAGCCTCATCCTCAGGCCTGGTGCCTGGGCTCTTTCCCGGGGATGGCTTCAGGATGTCCTTGTGGAAGTCTTTCAAACACTGCAGCTTCTCTTTGGTGGCCATCTCCTCCTCACTTTCTATGAGGGACAAAACAGAACCCAGTGTGCAGTTGGTAAGGGACAGCTGCGTGCCTTCAGCACAAACTTCCCTTCCCACCCACGGCTCTGACCTGCTCAGGCCTGTGGCAGGGGACCTGCAGTCCTGTCTATCCACTGCTCTGACATCCGAATGACTCCCCCTCCCCCTAGGTGAGCAGGGACCTCATGATTCAGGAATTGACAGGTTCCATTCCCCAGGCACCTGCTGATCAGAAGCCTTGGGGGCCCTGTGTTTGCTGTCCCCTAAAGTCACACCTCATCCTGTACCTGCAGGCAGATAGGCATGAAGCCACCCCAGCTCTCACATTATCTCTACAAAGTAAGACAAACTCCAAGCCATTCTAAGGCACCTTCCAAACAGCGGCCTGATGGCATTTTCTAGAAATGAACAGATACTATTTCTGAATTTCAGATTTCCCTAGCAAATGGGGGCTCCCATTTCACTTGTGCCTCAGCACAGTGCCTGGCCCCCAGGAGGTGCTCATTTCTAACTTAAAGAATTGATCAATGTAAATGAATGAAGAACGGGGTTTCAGGCTGGAATGGAAATATCTGAAAACAGGGTTTCCATCAAAGTATGGAAAATAGATGTTTATATTTCATTAGTCACATCTCTGGAGCATAAGAAATAAGGGATTTGTACTGGTGAGGATTATGTAAGAATGCTGGTTAATCTCCATTTGCTCATTCCCGTCCATCCATTCTCTGGCTTGCTCTGACCTGTATCATCCACACTCCCTTACCCTCTGACTCACTGTCCGGTTCAGCAATTGGAGGCCCCAGAGGAGGTCAAATCTCTAAGCTCCAGGGGGCTGTTCGTGGTCACCCTCAGCCCACTGATGCTTGGACCCCACCCTTGAGGAAGTCTGCCACCAGCCAGGACAAAACCTCTTCTTTCTCTACTTCCAGGTCCCTAAGCCTCACTTGCCCATGAGGGCAAAAGCATCGTTAAGTCGCGGCCTGGAGGAGAGGGAACCTTTGGGGTTCCCATCACATGGCGAAGGGCCGTGGAAGACAGGAAAACTGGGGGAACCAGAGCTAGTGCAACTACCCACCCCTTTCTGAGGGTGTTTCCCCATCTGCAGAAATAATGATGACAGCAAAGGTGACCATCAGAGCCAAGCAGCCCAGAACACAATTTGTCTTAATGATGCAAATTGGGGACCAGCAGTGAAGTTACCAGATTTCAAAGAGAAGTCCAGATTTCTAGGTTCTCTTGGAAAACTGGAAGGTCAGGCCATGTTGGGTTCACACTCCTTATAGTGACCAACAACTGGATGGACCAGCCGCATGCAGCCCCATCACCTGGGTACACCTGGGCCGGCTTGCCCCCCGGGTCCACAGTGGGCACCTGAGTCTGCCTCATCAGAGTGCTCAGCACCATGTGCAAGTGTCTTGTTCAAGTGCTCTTCCGCAAGGTTCCTATGGACAAGTCTTGTCCACTGCTGTGTGCTCAGAGCCAGGCACATAGTAAGTCATCAAGTGAGAGTTGTTGGGTACATGGTTCCAGAGTGGCATCTGGACACAGCTGGTGCTAAGTACAAATCCTGGCTCTGCCGCTTCCCAACCGTGGGACGGGCACCTCACTCCGCCTGAGCCTTGTGTGGTGCAGAGGTGGTGGGGCAGGGGGATGTGGGGGCTGCCTGAGAACCTGGTGTGGAAAGGGGACGCATTGGACTGGCCTCAGCCGCTGGGCCCACATGGGGGCTGTGCTCTGAGAAGCAGAGGCACAGGAGCACAACAGAACCCCCATTTCCCCCACGCCTCCTTCCTCTCCCTGGCTTGGGGTGGGGGACCCCAATTGTTTCACTATCTGGCAGTGAGCAGACCAAGAAAAGGCTTCCTGGAGCCAATGGGCGGCTCACTGAGCCCCTCCCCTGTCTCCCGGAGCGCAGACTGGCGGCAGCATCCGCATGGCCTTTCTTTGCCTTGCTCCCCTGGGGCAATGCAGGGGTTCAGCCGGGCGTATGGCTACTGTAAAAATAGCCTGAGCAGCCTGCATTGTTCCAGCATGAATTTGTGCAGACCCCGATGGTTATCTGAGCAGCCCATTGTGGGCCGACTGGATGGGAGCATAATTGCAGGATGTCGGACTCAACTCCCTCCTAGAGGAGATGTTTTTCAGGGAATGACCCCTGAGCCTCCTCACCAAGAAGGGTTGGTTCCGCCCTTTCAGGCTTTCCTTCGAGCTCAGGCTGTAAGGCACTTCACAAGTTCCAGCCAGGCGGACGGGGCAGGTGGCCAGCTTCTACGCACACAGGCAGTTGGGGCTGGAGAGGTCTTCCCCACTAGGTGCCACAGTCCGCTTCCCTTGAGAGTCCTGGCTCTGCCCTCTGGGCCCCCAGATCCGCTTGCCACACAGGCACTCAGAGAGCCCTGTAGGAACATGGGAGTGAGGGGCAAGCGACAAGTTACCTGAGACCCTCTGCTCCAGCCCCCTCTCCACACTCAGCCCCCTTCTTCCCAGCGCCTGTGGCTGAGCCAGCCTAGTGGGTAGGGCTTGAGCGCACAGAGCCTGGACCTGTCATGTGCCTGGCATTGTGGGGGCCTCTCCACTCCTCACACCCAGTGGCATCTGGGGATGTGTTCCTTCATCTCCATCCCCTGCCTCTAGCTCCCTCTGGCCAGGCCATCACCCATGGCCTCACCCAAGACTCACACCTGCATGAGGTCAGACCCAGGTGCAGGTGACCCACTCCCTCTCAGGGGGCTCATTCCATGACTCTCTGGGGTGTCTGACCAACCCCACCCCTATAAGAGCCCATTGCAACAAGACCCCTGGATTCTGCCTCCTGTACATTCCTGGAATCCACCCACGACTCTCCATCACCATGGCAACCACCGTGTTCCAGGCGCTGACAGCCCCCGCACGGGCACCCACGGGGGGCCTCCTCGCAGGTCTCCCTGCTGCTACTCTGCACAGCCGCCACCTCCCCCCACCCACAAGAAATTCTCAGCTCAGCAGCTGAAAGCAACTTATAAAACGTTAATAGATCAGAACGCTCCCCTTCCCCAACCCTCCATGACTCCTACAAGGATCACAAGCTCCTCCCCATGGCTTACGAGTCCCAGCGCTCGACCTGCCTCCCCACTCCCACTTCTCCTAGGGACACTGGCCCCACAGAAATGCTGTGGCTTGTCTCACTCCTCGCGCTCCAGTTGCTTATGTGGCTGCTCCAAGCCCTCTGGTGGCAGTTTGTCCCCTGTAGAAATCTGAGTGTGAGCCCTGGCCTAGAAGCTAACTGTACTTCCTGGCTGGGTGACCTCAGGCAAGTTACTCAACCTCTCTGTTATCCTCACCTATAAAACAGGGATAATTGTGCCCACCTTATAAAGATGTTGTGAGATTGAATGAGGGGTGGGTACCTGGAAAGTGCTCAGAACAGCATTTGGCATGTAGTGAGTGTTCCTTATATAGTTGCTGCTAGTATTACAGTTGTTTTTACTGCCATAATTATTACTGGGTCCACCCCGACCCTGGGTATGTAAGCCTAGTCAGGGTGAGCAGCAAGGCCCAGAGAAGCCAAGTGACACTCCCTAGGTCACACAGCTGGTAGTGGCAGCGACCATTATGTGCCTGAACCTTGGCTTTGCTTCTGCTGTCCCTCTGCCAGCCCAGCCTGATCTCAGACAAATGCCCTGGAGGCCTTCCACCCATCACCTCCCAGGACAGCCCGCCCCATGGTGCAGTAAGCGCTTAGGAACGAGACCCCTCCACAGGCGTTCCAGCAGCCTGCTGCCTTGCCAGCAGCCGCCAAGAGCTGTTTTCCTTGGCGCTAGGCCCAGGGCTATTTTGTAGCGACTGTGATACATAATTCCCCATTTTAAGAGCTTCCTCTTTAGTTATTACAGCTACAAGCGATTAGAATCAGCTCTGATACAGAGGCTTTGGGATGAGGGCTCCCTTCTTGCTAAGTTGAAATTCTCCTTATCTCAGTTTCCAGAGGTCAAGTCCAGAACTGGCTGTGCCTGCAGACCCACTTGCAGATCACTGGTCAGCTTTGTATGCACGTATGTGGACAGATTCAGTCGGGCCCCAGTTGATGCCATAGATCTATAAGATGCTCCCTGGCTTCTCTCCAATTTAAAACTACCAGATTTTTGAGTAGTTACTCTGTACTGAGCTGTCAAGAAAGTGTTCTATTCATCCTCAAACACCCTAACTGTGAAAGGGGCTTTTAGTACCATTTTACATACCAGGGAGGCTGGGGCGCAAGCAGGTGAGTGAGTGCCCTGCCTGAGGCCATGCACATGGGAAGGAGATGGGAGCCAGAATCCTGCCTCATCTGTCCACTGTCTAAGGCATGGAAGCTGAGAGAGGAGGAGTTTTCTGCGCTGTTTGCAGATGGGGGTGCTGAGGCCAGAGGGAAAGGGAAGCAGAGCAGCAGTGCAGGGCTGGGGACTGGGGGCCCACCTGTCTCCCCAGGCCCTCCCAGCCCCCGGCTCTGGCTGCCCACACACCAGCCACCTGGGCCTTGTACTGAGCTGCACCCGCTGTCACAGCTGCCTCCCAGCACCTGCCACCTCAGTCCAAAGCTCTGGGAGGCACTGAGCCCTAGCCTCTTTTTTCTGGACAGGCTGCCCATGAAGCTGGGGGGTTCTCTGCCTTGCCCTCCATGCAGAACCTGAGCCTTCTCAAGCAAACAGCTTCCCATAGAACAATGACTTAAATCTCTCACTGTCACTGACGACTTGTGAGTTCTACTGTGTTTTTAAAATAAAGAGGGCAGGTACTTTTTCTGTTTGCTCTATTCACTCACTCCAAAAGCGTCCAGCACACAGCCAGCCTCTAAGTGATCTCTGGGATTGATTAGATCATCACTGTTTCTCAGTGAAACTCTGGGGTTTACGTACATGGCTCCCAGAATCCCAGAACTGGGGCAGGAGGAAACCTGGATGACAAACCCATTTTACAGGTGGGGAAACCTGAGGCCTGACCAGCCCCCAGCCTGTTTGGCTTACTATGCAATCAGGCACACCAGAGCAAGAGGTCCATCTATTGTCTCTCCTTTCCTCATTTCCCCATCCACTCCAGAGCCAGTGTTCTGGGCTCACTGAGGCTACAACTAAGCTGTGTGATCTGGAGTAAGTAACAGCCTCTCTGGGACTCAATAGCTTCCTCACTGGTTAAAAATAATATGACTAAAACTAAAACCTCTCAGGGATTAAAAAGGATGATTCCTATAAAATGTTCAGCACAGGGCCTGGTAATACTGAGTGGTTAATAAGTATTAGCTATTACCGAAGAGAAAAGCCATACACATTGGGATTTTATTGTACTATGCAGCAGGCATTCTATTCTAAGTGTTTAAAAAAAAGAAGCAAGCTGCATTACTGGGCACTGACTGCAAGCACATTTATCTAGCACCGTGCTAAGTGCTTTGCCAGCATTTTCTTAGCCCCCTCCATGGGTGCTGTTATCATCTCCATTTTGCTGACGAGGCCCGGAAAGCTGAAGTTATTTGCCCAGGGTCGCATAGCAAGTTAAAGGCCACTGGTGCTTCCACTGGTTCCCAGGTCTGCTTTGGCCTCTGAATTACAGATTCTGAACCACTCGGCAAATGTAACACCACAGAATGAAATCAGGTCTGGAGCCTTTAAACCAGCTTCAAGCCACTGGACTAGGTTGACAAATTAGGGAAGTAGGAGAGGGCAAACAGGGAAGTGAGGGGACACATGACAGAGACAGGGCAGGGCCTGGGGACCTGGGCAGCAGTCAGGGTCCAGCCACAGGGATGGGCTGGGAAGGCAGATGAAACAGCATCGGCTTGGGCAGGACAATGACACCGTGGGCCAGAGGCGTCTTCTAGCAAACAGGGAGAGTCTCCCAGACCTTAGACCTAAGGTGGCTCCTTCAAGCACTTCCACAGCAGGCAGGGGCAGTCTCAGCGAGGAGTGCTGAGATAAATTAGTAATGTCTGCCACGGGCATGCCCCTTGCTTATCATCATGGCCCTAGGATTTAACAATTAGGCACCCAAAACAAAAACAAAAACAAACACCTGAGTTGTGTGAAGTGCACTATTCCACCTTCTACTTAGGGCAGTTATTTTTTTAAAAAAAGTAGAAATTAGTCAAAGAAAGTTTTTTTTCTTTCTCATAAAAACACAATTGAAAAAAAATCAATTGAATGAATTATGTGGTCTGCATCTGTCTGTCTTTCTTGGTTATCTATTCCTAACTCAGGCTAACTCATGCACGACAAGCTCGAAGGCTCCCAGGTGCCTGGTGGACAAAGGACAGAATACGAGGGGAGGCCACAGGGAGGAATACAGTCTGCAGCAAACGGGAGCCTGGGGTCCAGCCATAGGCAGCTCTCCTCAGCCTCAGCTATGCAGGACTGTGGGACTGCCTTTGGGACTGTGGCCCACTGAGGCCAGATCCTCCAATTGGGAGGTGCTGAAATCTGAACTGTATGCACACATGCATTTTCCAATTTCTAAAACACTGCCAGCTGTATACAAAGTTTGCCTTCTTTGGTCATACCATTGCCCCAGGTCACCCAAGGTGGCCGCAGCAAAGGGCAGGACAGGCGTGCTGGAGATGCTGACCGGCCGGCCTCAAAAGCCCAATGGCTCACCCGAGTGAGGTCAGCCAGGAAGCCTGGCATTGTTTTGCCGGGAACAAAGCTGAAACAATGAGGAACAATATTGGTCCTAGTGAAAGTGAACTGTTTGGGAAACTGTTTTCAGCATGACATCTGTGGGGACAATGCTTTTTATCTACCTGGGGTCCAGTGTGGTCAAGGTCTTCCCCTCCTCTCATCTAATGGCAACTCCCACCCCACAAAACCTCCACGTCTACCCTCAGAGACCCCCAACTCCACTGAGAACACCCTGCCTGGCTCATGGTTGGCCCTGAACCTATGTAAGAGTTTAGTTCTCCCCAAGCCTCGCAGAGCCTCCACTTTCACAGATCAGATTAGAGAAGGGGAGGTCTGGGGACACAGGGACCTACCAGAGCAAGTCTTACTTCTTGATCTGTGGTTTGCAGAGGAAAAAGTGGGTGAAGGTGAGTGGGCTTTGCATAGAACTGGCCTCTGGGACAATGCTGGTGGCAGGGGGGCAGGGCGTGGGTACGATGTGCAGCCACCTTATCCTCTTCCACTCACAAAAATGTTTACAGGTAATAGGTCTGGGGACTGGGTCCAAATATTTTTCTTGTCTCCTTGGAGGTGGCAGGCCCTGACCTAAAGCCCAGAGAACCATGGGCGGGCAGCAGAGAGGAGGGCGGACACAAATGGGACATGCAAATTGCAGGGGCGTGGGTGCAGGCCAGGAGCAGGCTCCTCTGTGGCAGGGCTGGGCAGGGGTAGGTGCTGCCTCCAAAGGTGGAAGCAAGGTGGGAATATGCTGCGCCCATAACATAGGCACCCCA